GCTTTGCTGGGTTTTCTTCCTCTGGATCAACTGTGGGTATATATATATATATATATATATATATATATATATATATATATATATATATAAATACATAGTTAGAACAACTGAAAAAAGCTGCAGTTAGAGCCTGGTAAAGCATCAGAAGGGAGGACACCCAGTCTTTGGTAATGTCCATGGGTTCCATTAATAATAAATATGCCACCTAAATAAATAACGCCCCACAGAATAAAATACAAAAATTAAAAAAATAAAAAATAATAATCAAAGTCCAAAAATTATAATATAAAAACCATACAAGTGTCCTTCAATAAAGTCATAAAGGTGATTTCACAAAAATGTCCAAATATCAGAGCCTCCCAAAGGCTTTCATGACCAATGTCACCTCAAAAAGAAAGAAATCATACATAGTGCATTATCCTTTTAAATAAGGGATCCCTTATGAATAAGTCACATGACAAAATGCATCAAGGGAAGGGACGTCAGACGCACATGGGAACCAGAAGTGGAGAAGCGGCCATTTTGGAAAGTGGCAAGAATCACACCAAACACTTGTGGACGTTCTCTGGACTTTGGTTATTATTATTTTAAATTTTTTAATTGTTTGTATTTTATTCTGTGGGGCGTTATTTATTAAGGTGGCATATTTATTATTTTTTATTAGTTACACCTTCAGGGGTGAAGGTGAAATATATGCTATAAGGGGTACTTTATATTATTAGATTTACTTATTTATTTTGGAGTGGTATTGCAATTATTATTTAGGCAGTCATTGCTAGTAAAGGATTCTCAACAAAATATTAAAAATTAACATTTTATTTATGATTATATTCAATTGGCCAATTACTTTTGGTCCCTTAAAAAAGGGGAGATGGCTACTCTTAAGAGCTGTAATTCCTAACTTCGTCCTCCAATTTGGATGTACATATCCTCAAATTAAACCTGAGAGTGTGCACTTTCAGCCCATATCCATTATAGAACTATAGCTTGCATATGTTTTGGTCAATACCTGAATAAATCTAAAATTGTGCCTGTGTCCAAACATATATGGACCCAACTGTATTTCATGTATATATATATATATACACACACATACATACGCACACACACATACACACACACGCTTAACAGGTTAACAGGCAGTAGCAGGATCCAGACTGACAAAAAATTCCCCACAGCTGAGCTTTTAGTGTGACAATGCTAACTAGCTTCAACCAAAGAAATTGTTCATTTTCTACCAGCATTTAGGTCTATCCTTCCATATGCTCAGTTGGACTCAAGAGTAGGCATTCAAAGTGCATGCAGAGGTTTCTGCATGGTAAGATTTTTTGACAAGTGAAGTGAATTCATGGTTTCCTTTGCCATCGTCAACTTGCAAACTGCTGTTCCCATTTTTATTTTTCATTACACATTACTTTATAGCCTTATTGGCATGTGTATTCATGAAAGGTCAATGATTTTGTATTATTTATTGCCCTAATAGGTTTTTAAAAATATTATTTTGCGAAACCTCACTAGTTTTGAAAAGCCCTGGAACTTTAGTGTTTTGTAGATATATTAATTTACATCTATAAACCTATTTATTATCTTTTGTTTCACACTTGGTTACTGTGAGTATAAATATAGTAACAGGCCAAACCTACCTACATAAAAGGCAGTGAGATCAAAGCCATTATTTAATGTGACATTTGATTGCAAGAACAATAAAATCAACCTAAAGATACCGCTTCCTAAGGTTTCACAAGAAAATTACCGTATTTGCCGGCGTATAAGACGACTGGGCGTATAAGACGACCCCCCTACTTTTCCTGCTAAAATTTAGTGTTTGAGCTATACTCGCCGTATAAGACTACCCCTCTTCCAATGCACACCAGTGGCAGGAATAGTGCCCCATCATTGGTATCAGTGGCAGGAATAGTGCCCCATCATTGGTATCAGTGGCAGGAATAGTGCCCCATCATTGGCATTAGTGGCAGGAATAGTGCCCCATCATTAGTATCAGTGGGGGGAATAGTGCCCCATCATTGGTATCAGTGGCAGGAATAGTGCCCCATCATTAGTATCAGTGGGGGGAATAGTGCCCCATCATTGGTATCAGTGGGAGGAATAGTGCCCCATCATTGGTGTCAGTGGGAGGAATAGTGCCCCATCATTGGTGTCAGTGGGAGGGAGGAATAGTGCCCCATCATTGGTATCAGTGGGAGGAATAGTGTCCCATCATTGGTATCAGTGGGAGGAATAGTGTCCCATCATTGGTATCAGTGAGAGGAATAGTGCCCCATCATTGGTATCAGTGGCAGGAATAGTGCCCCATCATTAGTATCAGTGGGGGGAATAGTGCCCCATCATTGGTATCAGTGGGGGGAATAGTGCCCCATCATTGGTGTCAGTGGGAGGAATGGTGTCCCAACATTGGTGTCAGTGGGAGGAATGGTGTCCCATCATTGGTGTCAGTGGGGGGTGGAATAGTGCCCCATCATTGGTGTCAGTGGGGGGGGGGGGGAATAGTGCCCCATCGTTGATGTCAGTGGGGGGGAGGAATAGTGCCCCATCGTTGGTGTCAGTGGGGGGGAGGAATAGTGCCCCATCATTGGTGTCAGTGGGGGGGAGGAATAGTGCCCCATCATTGGTGTCAGTGGGGGGGAGGAATAGTGCCCCATCGTTGGTGTCAGTGGGAGGAATAGTGCCCCATCGTTGGTGTCAGTGGGAGGAATAGTGCCCCATCATTGGTATCAGTGGGAGGAATAGTGCTCCATCATTGGTATCAGTGACACCAATGATGGGGCACTATTCCTCCCACTGACACTTGCTGACCCTGTTCTCGTATGGTGCTGCTGCAGCCAGCATATGTGGTTGCAGCAGCACCTCTACACTGACCACTTACCTGCTGGTCCTGCAGTCGATTTTCGCGGGGCCGCTCGGCTCCACCCCCTCGTCGGTGATTGGCCGCCTGTGTGCCTTTCCTGAGCTACAGTTCTGGCGGCCAATCACTGGTGAGGAGGCAGAGCCGAGCAGCCGCACGAACATCCAGTGACTGAACTGAAGGCGCAGCCGCGCTTCCTGGACCGGATCGTCGTTGGACCGGAACCAGGTAAGAAACAGCCGCTGCCCACCCCTGTACTTAGTGTCCCTTCCATTGGGGGAAGGGGGGGGGCGGCGGCGGCAACGCGCCGCCCCCCTAAAAAAAAGTGTCAGTATGCCGTATACCGGCGTATAAGACGACCCCCGACTTTTGAGAAGATTTTTAAGGGGTAAAAAGTCGTCTTATACGCCGGCAAATACGGCACTTAGGAAAAGAGCACTAAAATACTGTAGATGTGTTGCATCTGCATGAAATTATAGAAACTGTCAGAGCACTAGGTGATGGTTAGAAATTTGAACCTGGGACCCACTTGATGCAGGAGGGCAAATAATTTTTAATTCAAACAGAGATTGCAGGTTTAACTTTGTCTGAAAACAGCGTGGACACAAGCAAATCAAGAGTTGTGCCGCATTTTGAAGTTAAACAAGAACCAGGATAGGAAAAAAAATCCCCCATTAGTATACCACCCCTACACAAAACACTAAACAGTTAATAAAACTTTGAAAATACTTACCATTTAGGAGGAAAGTCTAATTAAATCTTCATGGCCTCAACTCTGTAATTCAAAAGAGAACAGCATCTGCTCTGCCAATGAGGAGGCGTAACAGCAGGAATTGCATCATAATCTCTCCTCTCTCTCTCTGCAGTAAAAGGAAACTACAGTTCCCATCAACCACAGGGAATTCTAATGAATGTGGGCAGGTACATTAAACCTGTACATGTTGAACATGTCTGAGAGTCTCAGTCCACCCACCACTGCAAGTGGGGCTGAATTACATCACTGCTCCTGGAGAAAGAGCTACAGAAGGGATGTGCCAAGACCAGTGGCTCGGGGAGAAGGAGGCATAGCAGCCACTGGTCCTAACAGGCAGGAAAGCAAAGAGAATTAATGGTTTGACTTAAAAATGAATAGACTATTTCAGAGCAACTACTGAGTGAACGAGAAGATGGATGACATATTGAATGAAGGTAGGAAATCAGCAACGAGGACATGCAAAGAAGTTTTGCCCAGAGTTCTGCTTTAATATGAAGTGTACTGGAGTTTTTTTGTGTTTGCTGGAGAGTTTCCATGAGGACAATACACAGTGTGGTCATTGTTGTAAAGAGAACTCTTGGGAAAAAGCTAAAATATTAGTTTCCAGAAAGACTGTGCCATGGAGCAATGGCACCAAATGTAGACTACCAATCTGGTAGTAACTTGAGTACAACGTTTTAAATATAATAGTCAAGGAAAATATATGTTTTATGTGTATATGTTTTAGTGTATGTGCAGGGGTCATATACTGCACCATATGAAGTTCCCAATCTTTCTAAATGTGGATATAGAGATCTGCATCCCAAACCAATGCAAAACATGGTTTGACAAAATTTCAGGAAGGAATGAACGGATTGCAAAAGATCATACCAGACAGTTGGATTAACTCTGCACTTTGAAAAGAAACAGGTCTGATCACATGTGTACTACAATCTATGCAAAGCGGTATAGAGGCTGCAGTTACTGTATAACGCTAGACTAGCCTTTTGTATGTCTTGTATATTTGATACTTGTATATGACGTTGACAGTTTGTTATATTTTTGATATTGAAATTACTGTTTGTACTTAAAAAGCTTTGCTAACATGAATAAAAAAAAAATGTCCAATCTAAATGGTGTGAACTATTTTATGGATATGTGGTGAAACTAGCAATATGTTTAGAGGTGACTAGGTCACAATCCAATATAATTAAATGTAAATCTCTGAAAAGGGTTACAAGAAGCCAGATTTAAAATAACATACTGAGGTTAGACTTTTCAAGCTTTTCAAAGGCTGAAAGGGGTATTCCCTAGTGCAATAAATAGAGTGTAACCATCAATGCAGCAGATGCAATGAACTTGTGAGAAGAATGCACTTACAGTCCAAACATGAGATTCGCTTACCATTCTAGTTTCCTGTTCAAGCCTAGTACTCAGCTCTTTAAGTGCAATTTCTCTTTCATGCAGGATAGTAGCTTTCTCTTGCTCCAATAGATTTTCTGTTTCTAGTTTAAATTTTTCAGAGAAGCTATTTCTTTCCTGCAATAGCTTCTCCTCTAGTTTTAGTAATATCTGTTTGTGTTCTTCGCTGATTGTCAATTCCTGTTTCCTGTAGTAAAAAAGAAAAGGTATCAAGTAAAAAAAAAAAAAACTATCTAAATATCTTAATGAGACTGGGAAACAAATTTTCAAAACCCTCAGGAGAGTGCAGATATTGTCAATAGCAGCTAAGCAGATATCAATCAATTTTTTTTTTAAACAGATAAATAGTAAGAAAATATTAGAACACCTAATAACTGCTAAAAAAACTTCCTGTCCTCTGGTTATACAAGGAATAAAAAATAATGAAAATACATAAAATAACCTCTTTTGAGAGCATAATCAAAAACATTGTTAGTTTATATCAGTGATGGCGAACCTTTTGGAGCCCAAGTTCCCAAACTGTGACCCAAAACCCACATATTTATCGCAAAGTGTCAACACTGCAATTAAACCTGAATACTGAGGTTTTAGTTTAGAAAAAAACTTTTGTTTTAAAAGAAAACACAGTAACAGCTTTCAGTGATATAAACAGCTTTTTATTGAAAAGTAAAAGTTTGCATTTGGTGTGCTTTTGCACAATTAATGTGATCTTTGCTGTTGCATGTATGCTGATAATTTTTCAAATTGTGGTTCATACTTCGTCATTTTGAGAGCAACACATGCAGCACTCAGGTCATCTGTTAGTCTGTTTCTTGTATCAGATTTGATATAATTCAAAGCTGAAAACAGCTGCTCACAAGCATAGGATGATCCAAACAAAGTAAGAAAAGCAATCCCAAGTGCTTTCATTGACTTAAAATTATTTGGCAGAGAATTCCACACTTTAAGGATTTCATTTTCAGAACTACCAACTGGCCACCAGCACAGAGGGGCAATGTTTCACTGACCATGGGCACAGAGGGGCAATGTTCCACTGACCACGAGCACTGAGGGGCAATGTTCCACTGACCACGGGCACAGAGGGGCAATGTTCCACTGACCACGAGCACTGAGGGGCAATGTTCCACTGACCACGGGCACAGAGGGGCAATGTTCCACTGACCACGGGCACAGAGGGGCAATGTTCCACTGACCACGAGCACTGAGGGGCAATGTTCCACTGACCACGAGCACTGAGGGGCAATGTTCCACTGACCACGAGCACTGAGGGGCAATGTTCCACTGACCACCAGCACAGAAGGGCAATGTTCCACTGACCACCAGCACAGAGGGGCAATGTTCCACTGACCACCAGCACAGAGAGGCAACGTTCCACTGACCACCAGCACAGAGAGGCAATGTTCCACTGACCACCAGCACAGAGAGGCAATGTTCCACTGACCACCAGCACAGGAGGAGCAATGTTCCACTGACCACCAGCACAGAGGAGCAATGTTCCACTGACCAACAGCACAGAGGGGCAATGTTACACTGACCATCAGCACATATGGGTAATGTTCCTAATGCTGCAGATTTAAATGCCAGGGGGACAGCACAACATTAAAAGAATGTCAATCTCAGTTAAATATGTATAAAAACTTAAATCCAGTGCAGCAAATCGGCATTCTTGTTTATAGCAACTAGCTGCTATAGCAGATCCACTTCTGGCTGACCACACTGGCTGAAGGCATGGTGAAAGCTCTGACAAGTGGCTAGGGAGGTAGTCGTGGCTTGTGATGTCAACCCCGCATGCGTGGGACCCAAAGCTTGGCACCAGGGCAGTAGTAGGGCAACTTGGCTCACGTGCTGGCAGCGAGGCCCTGCGCGCCTGCTGCGGCACACGTGCCATAGGTTAGCCACCACGGTTATAGTGCATGATAACACTGTTTGAGTCATCAATGGGAAAACAGATTAATTTATTATATGGATTTACTGTCATTTGACCACCTGATTTAGAAATATTTTTACTAGGTGAAAAAGCTCATTTTGGTTGTTAAAGTAGATGCAAACCGTGCTGTTCATAAACATGCAGGGCATTGTGCTTGCATAAACTATTAGACTATTGTATGCATTTCAATGAAAACTTGAAAAAAAATTATTTTTCATAGCAGTTCTCCTCTCCCTAAGGTCAGGGCTGTGGGTGTGGAGAAGCCATAGAGTATTGTCACTTCCTGTGACACCACTGCAGGCTCAGAAAAGTCCCAGATGCCTTTTTAGATCCCTTTTCTCTACCGAATGATAGCTGTCTCCAAGAGTAGCTGTGAGTCAAGCACTGCTAAATGATGCAGGGGCCTTGTCTTGGGCTGACAATGGGCAAGTTATCAGGCATGTTGTGCCTTGGCACCGAGCTCCCCAGCAGGTGTGATTGCTACTTTAATTGGAAACATAGTCGGCATTGTCAGCTTATCACAGGAAGCCCACATGACAAAAGAAACTAGCAGGACCAAAAGGTGATTACTTTAACTTTGCTACTCTCAGTACACTTTTCCTACAGTGGGTTCCTAAACCCCAACCAGATATACACACATCACTCTCTTTCTCACTCTGCAGCCTTAAGCTGCTAAAAGTATTGGAGAGGGAAGAGATTTCAGGGAGCAGGAAACTCCGGGTATGTGACTCTCTGGGTTCCAAGCTTAGCTTACATGGAACAATGCCATATACTGTATGTATTGTATAATAATGCATGCATTAGATCAATGTTCATTCATGGTTTCTCATAAACGGACTAAGAGAAGTGACAATACAGAATATTAATTAGTGGAGATTGTGACGCCAATTAACATGCTCCACTTGTATCTAGGTGATATTTGTTTCTTCCTCTGCTACATATTTGTGTGTGTCTTACCGAATTTTCTGCTCTTCTTCTTGTCTCTCTTTAACAAGTTCATTTTCCAATGTGAGCAGTCTCTGCTTCTGTGCCTCTCTCATCCTGGCTTCTTCCTCTTCAGACTCTCTCTGCAGCTTTTCCTCCAATGCTCTGTTTAAAAACATACAAAAATATATATATATATATATTGTGACATGGGGGATGATTAGCTCTAGTGATAGATGCTTTCCAAGTGAGTCCACACTAGTCAGAAACTCTTTTTCAGGGCTTGGTAGCCCACTTTTATTAAAAGGCAGGAAACCAAAACACAAAAGTCCAAAATATACTTTCCCACACAGGGGTTCTTCTCCAATGGTAAACACCAATGAAAAATACTAAGCCTCCTGGCTACTCCTCCTTATCACTGCTGGTCAGCAGTACCTCTGCTGGGATGGGTCTCCCAGACCACTGGCTATTCCCAGCACACAGTGTTGGACTCCTTCAACTCACACAGCATCTGTCCTTTAATGCACACAGCCTTGAGCCCTTTAATGCACACAGCATCTGTCTCACACAGAGACACTCAATGGAAGCCACTGCTCCAACTGCACTCAACTCCCCCGAACTCTCAGCAAACCAACATTAGAAGGGCTGTGAGCACCTGGGCCCACACCCTGCTGGTTGACTACAAACTCTGGACACTGGATTGGAGATTTCTTTCCTCCCAAGGCACTTTGAAATCTCCAAACTATGGAGCCCCATCCAGAAATATCAAAATCCGGAGAAACCTGCAACAGCAGTTTTTCTCCACTCAAAATCTACACTCCACAGTTCTGCACTCCACATGTGCAGACTCTGTGTCCATTACTGGACCACTTCTACCTGTTTTTATCCTGTAAAAGGGCCCTGCACTGTTACTATATACATAACAGGTCAGGCACTGATGTTAGATGAGAAGGCCTGGCTCACAGTCTTCGCTCTAATTCATCCCAAAGGTGTTCTATCAGTTGAGGTCAGGACTCTGAGGACTCTGTGCAGACCCGGCAAGTTCCTCCACCCCAAACGTGCTCATCCATGTCTTTATGGACCTTGCTTTGTGCACTGGTGCGCAATCATGAACTAATGGGCCAAGCCCAACCCCTGAAAAACAACTCCACCCTATAATACCCCCTCCATCAAACTTTACACTTAGCAAGTACCGCTCACCTGGAAGCCACCAAATTCAGACACGTCCATCGGATTGCCAGAAAGAAGCATGATTTGTCACTCCAGAGAACACATCTCCACTGCTCGAGTTAAGTGATGGCGTGCTTTACACCACTGCATCCAATGCTTTGCATTGCCTTACATTTTAAGGCTTGGATGCAGCTACTTGGGCCATGGAAACCCATTTGATGAAGCTCTCTACGCACTGTTGTGCCAATCTGAAGGCCACACAAAGTTTGGAGGTCTTTAGCTATTGACTCTGAAGACAGTTGGCGACTTCTGCACACTATGCGCTTCAGCATGCGCAGACCACGCTCTGTCATTTTACGTGGCCTACCACTTTGTGGCTGAGTTGCTGTTTCCCATTGCCTCCACTTTGTTATAAAACCACTAACAGTTGACAGTGGAATATTTAGTAGCAAGGAAATTTCACAGTCTACCTATCAAGATCACGCTTGAATTCACTGAGCTCCTGAGAGCGACCCATTCTTTCACAAATGTTTGTAGAAGCAGTTTGCATGCCTAGGTGCTTGATTTTATACACCTGTGGCTATGGAGGTGCTTGGAACTCCTGAATTCAATGATTTGGAGGGGTGTCCCAATACTTTTGGCAATATAGTGTATAAACAGAGAGTAATTTTGGCTGGGCGCCCACTTCTCAGGAGAGTAGTCACAGCACTAAACTGTCTCCATTCATAGACACTTTGTTTAACTGTCAGCTGATGAATTTCTAAACACTTTGAGATTGCTTTGTATCACTTTCCAGCCTTATGCAGATCAGCTATGCTTAATCATATGTCTTCAGAGAGCTCCTTTTTGCGAGGCATTGTTCACATCAGCCGATGCTTCTTATGAACAACAATCTTAAAATGTTTGTGTGTCTTATCAATCAAAGTAGCTCTAAACCAAACCGTCAAACTAATTTCCTGAATCCAATGATTTGTTGGGGTGTCCCAATACTCTGGCAATATAGTGTGTGTGGGTAATATACATATACACACACACACGCGCACATTTATATACACATACACACACAGTGCATCCAGAAAGTATTCACGGCGCTTAACTTTCGCCCCATTTTGTTATGTTACAGCCTTATTCCAAAATGGATTAACTTCATTTTTTCCTGAACATTCTACAAACAACACCCCATAATGACAACGTGAAAGACGTTTGTTTTTAAATCTTTTTGATTTATTAAAAATAAAAACCAAAAAAATCCACATGTACATAAGTATTCACAGCCTTTGCCATGACACTCAAAATTGAGCTCTGGTGCATCCTGTTCCCACTGACCATCCTGGAGATGTTTCCACAACTTGATTGGAGTCCACCTGAGGGAAATTCAGTTGTTTGGACATGATTAGGAAAGGCATAAACCTGTCTATATAAAAGTTCCCACAGTTAACAGTGCATGTCAGAGCACAAACCAAGCCATGAAGTCCAAGGAATTGTCCGTAGACCTCCGAGACAGGATTGTATCAAGGCACAGATCTGGGGAAGGGTACAGAAAAAAATTTCTGCAGCATTGAAGGTCCCAATGAGCACAGTGGCCTGCATCATCCGTAAATGGAAGAAGTTTGGAACCAAAAGGAATCTTCCTAGAGCAGGCTGTTTTTCCAAAATGAGCGATCGAGGGAGACGGGCCTTAGCCAGGGAGGTAACCAAGCACCTGATGGTCACTCTGAAAGAGCTCCAGCATTTCTCTGTGGAGAGAGGAGAACCTTCCAGAAGAACAACCATCTCTGAAGCACTCCACCAATCAGGCCTGTATGGTAGAGTGGCCAGACGGAAGCCACTCCTCAGTAAAAGGCAAATGGCAGCCCACCTGGAGTTTGCCAAAAGGCACCTGAGGGACTCTCAGACCATGGAGAAACAAAACTTTCTGGTCTGATGAAACAAAGATTGAACTCTTTGGCCTGAATGCCAAGCGTCATGTCTGGAGGAAACCAGGCACCTCTCACCACCTGGCAAATACCATCCCTACAGTGAAGCATGGTGGTGGCAGCATCATGCTGTGGCAGCAACTGGGAGACTAGTCAGGATCGAAGTAAAGATGAATGCAGCAAAGTACAGAGACATCCTTGATGAAAACCTATTCCAGAGCGATCTGGACCTTAGACTGGGGCGACGGTTCATCTTTCAACAGGACAACAACCCTAAGCACACAGAAAGGAATTGCTACAGGCCAAATCTGCGAATGTCCTGGAGTGGCCCAGCAAGAGTCCAGACTTGAACCCAACTGAACATCACTGGAGAGATCTGAAAATGGATGTGCACCGACGCTCCCCATCCAACCTGATGGAGCTTGAGAGGTACTGCAAAGAAGAATGGGAGAAATTGCCCAAAAATAGGTGTGCCAAGCTTGTAGCATCATACTCAAAACGACTTGAAGCTATAATTGGTGCTAAACGGGCTTCAACAAACTATTGGGAAAAGGCTGTGAATACTTATGTACATGTGATTTTTTTCGTTTTTTTATTTTTAATAAATTGCAGAGATTTCAAAACGAACTTCTTTCACGTTGTCATTATGGGGTATTGTTTGTAGAATGTTGAGGAAAAAAATGAATTTAATCCATTTTGGAATAAAGCTGAAACATAACAAAATGTGGCAAAAGTTAAGTGCTGTGAATACTTTCTGGAAGTTGGAACACCCCTCCAAATCATTGGATTCAGCTGTTCCAATCAAGCACCTAGGCATCCGTGAAATTTCCTTGCTACTAAATATTCCACGGTCATCTGTTAGTGGTGTTATAACAAAGTGGAAGCAACTGGGAACAACAGCAACTCAGCCATGAAAAATGACAAAGTGGGGTCAGCACATGCTAAAGCGCACAGTGCGCAGATGTTGCCAACTGTCTGTAGAGTCAATAGCTAAAGACCTCCAAACGTCATGTGGCCTTCAGATTAGCACAATAGTGCGTAGAGAGGTTCATGGAATGGGTATTCATGGCCGAGCCGCTGCATCCAAGCCTTACATCACCAAGTGCAATGCAAAGTGTCGGATGCAGTGGTGTAAAGCACGCCGCCACTGGACTCTAGAGCAGTGAAGATGCATTCTCTGGAGTGACGAATCACGCTTCTCTGTCTTGCAATTTGATGGGCGTATCTGGGTTTGATGGTTGCCAGGTGAGCGGTACTTGCCTGACTGCATTGTGCCAAGTGTTAAGTTTGGTGGAGGGGGATTATGGAGTGGGGTTGTTTTTCAGGGGTTGGTCTTGGCCCCTTAGTTCCAATGAAGGGAACTCTTAAGGCGTCATCACAACAAAACATTTTGGACAATTTCATGCTTCCAACTTTGTGGAATGTGCGCAGAATAGAACACCTTTGGGATGAATGAGAGTGGAGACTGTGAGCCAGGCCTTCTCGTTCGACATCAGTGCGTGACCTCACAAATGCACTTCTGGAAGAATGGTCAAACATTCCCATGGATTAAGACTGGGATACCATTAAAAGTTCATATGCATGTAAAGGCACGTGTCCCAATACTTTTTGGCAATATAGTGTATATGTACTTTGTGTGTGTATACACACAGTATATTTTAAATGATTATTAGCCTTTGTTTACACTATGAACCAAATATAAAAATCACGCAGGAATTGCATTCCTATAAAATTCAGTGCAGTACGATTTGAGCCCACTCCTTTTAAATGGGCTCAAAGTGCACCACATTGCACCAAATTTGGAACCACACTGCAACTGGATTACATGGTAACTTTGTACCATGCGACCCAGTGCTGGCAAATGCACTGCGTTTGCGATCTGCATTTGCAGTGTCGTTAAGATTCCATTGACACCTCCTGCAGATTGCAAAGCAGTGTGTTTGGAATGCGGTGCGGAAAGCGCACAGATTGTGGGTTTCCCGCACAGCATTCTAGTGTGAACCTAGGCTAAATGATTGTAATTGAGTTAGTGAAATACCTGATGTTACTGTTATGGAGTCCTTGCAGAGTATGTTTCCTCTCCTCTTCCACTTTGCTAAACATTTCTCTCAGATTCTCCAGCTTCTGTTTATGCTCTTCTTCTAAAGCACTTTTCTCCTGCTCAACAATCATTTTGGAATTGTACGCTGAAGCTTTAGGAAGTTCATCCACAAGTTTTGGTAGCTGTCCAGTATGCTTTGAGGTTTCAGATATCTTCCTAGATTCATTCTCTGAATTTTGTGAGGATTCGCTGCCATTTCTGAATAGCTCTGCGGACAATTTAAAAGGTTCTTTTGTAGATGCTGGTTCTACAGTAGCACTTGCATACTTTGCATCTGGATGAATTTGCCTGTGCAAGAAAAAAAAGTGTTTTAGAAAAAAAGAAAAAAAAATGGATACCTGTAATAACACAAGCCGTATACCCAACAAACCTCTGAACCTTATCCAGTGGTCCCTTAATAGGTTTCATATAGTCATCACCAATTTCCTTCTCCACATCTTCATCTATCTCCTCTTCTACTGCTTCCTGAAGGAAAATAAATTTTTATTTACTTTAAATACTGTCATTCTTTCCTTTAAAGGGGAAATCCAGCTTGTTCCATGCTCTTCAATAAATATAGTGGCAAACTAGTATAGGTAAAGAAAACATTAAAAATATATGATATAAATTACAGTTCAGAAACCATTTGTTACAGTTTTTGATATATGAAGCCGCCAAATGTATGGTGGGTAGGTGCTCCATTCAGTGTGAGCCTTGCTTCATAAGTCACCCCTCATGTGCCCTCATATGGAATTTTTAAATCATCTCCGTCTGGCTGAGTTAAGATGTACAATATAGAACCTTCAAGTAGACTTTCTGAGAATAATTACCTACAAAGATCTCAGTAGAATAACAAGCTCAATCACCGATTTAAGTGTTTGTAAACTCAGTTTTTTAATTTTACCTACAGGTAAGCTATAATGAAGCTGATCTGTAGGTACAATTAATATTTCCCAAAACGTGCACCTTTTAGGAGATATTCTCTCGTCATTTAATCCGGTGCATGCGATCTGAAGGAATAACATACCTGTGCCATTCCTTTAGAGCTGTGTGCTGTGTGCCATGGCCCGGGACTCCTGCGCATGCGTCATGGCAGCCCGGATTGCCAGAATGCCGGAGCTCATAACCCTGGAAGGAAGACAGGTGAAGATGGAAGCCTCTACAGTGGTGACAGCGCGCTGCTGGAGGGCTTCGTTTTAAGTTAAGTTTTACATAATGTGCTAGTATGCTATGCATACCTTGACATTACCTTGCAGGGGGCTTTTTTTTTTGTGTCTGCGGTTTAATACTAAAGAATTATTAAGGATGCACTGAAATATCGGCCGAATATAGTGTTATCCGTATTGTGCCGATAGGAAAAAGATGCCGATAATGGCCACTGAAAGTGCAAGATTTTACTAGAGATTTTGCCACGTTTTTACCTGTTATTTTACCAGCTGTTTTACCATGTTTACAGTGCGTTTTTCAAAGGTCATGTGACTAAAAAAAACCCACATCAAAATGCAACACGTGTGCGTTTTTGATGGGATTTGAATGCATTTCAGGCCCGGTTCACACCAATGCAGTTTGCGTTTTGTCCGTTTTGCAGTGCATTTTTGCACGCGTTTTGCAATTTTTGAAATTTGTTTTTTTTTAACAATTTGTTGCTGGGCAGATAAAAGACCCAAAACGCATAAAAAATGCATCACATGATGCGTTTTCAATGCATTTCAGGACTGGTTCACAGCAATGCAATTTGCGTTTTGGCCGTTTTGCAGTGCGTTTTGAATTTTTTTTGGCTAACTTGTTGCTGGGCAGATTAAAAAAGCAAAATGATCAAAACCACACTACATGCATTTTCTTCATTGAAGTCTATTGAACCAAAAATGAAACATTTTGCATTTAAAAAAAAAAAAAGTCCCTGACCCTCTCCAAAAATGCAGCAGCTCAACAAAAGCATAGATATCCTATAGTAAATCATGTTAAATGGACTGTAGCGTGTTTCTGTAAAAAGCAATAAAAATCACATTGGTGTGAACCAAACCTCAAAAAGGAGGTGCGGTTTTTTTTCTCTTTCTTTAAATACAGCAAGCAGGATTTTTAACACCACAAGGGAAGCGCAACGGACCAGTGCGAAGACATAAATTGAATTTAACCTCCCTGGCGGTATGATTCTTTCCGATTTTTCGTGCTGAAAGCAGTACCATTTTTTTGCATGGAAATATGTAGTTTTTATTGTAGGCTGTAATTTTTAGGAATAACTCACTAAATTCTGTCCGAACAAGAGTCTAGTAAACATTCCGGATATGATAAAACTTGAAACACGAAATCATAAATTATAATTTAATAAATAATCATAAAAAAAATAATAATATATTAATAATAAGTTTAATTCAATAATATAATCAAACCAAAAACACTGAAATTTGTAATACAGAGGCAAATTCGCACATCGCTGAGCAAAGTCGCAAAATCGTTTTCAGTGTCTGATGACGAATTTCCCCACAAATCATTATCACTCAATTCTGCAAGTGGTTCTGATTTACTATCGCTGTTCTAAAACTGCTTTTGACGTAAAGGGATGCTTTTTGGACGCCATGGACTTTTCTAAGTTTCCAGGCAGAAAGAACAGTCAAAATGCAGGCAGGGCACAGGACAAAGCAGTAGGGACAAAATATATGTGAAATGCATTGAAACAGCAATGACGGCAAAAATGAAATTTTTAAAAAATTTCAAATTTTCCGCCAGTTCCGGCGCCCGTACGTTCCTACGTCACAGGGATCGGAACACGGAAGCTGGATGCCGGCATTGACCAGAGGAGATGGCCGGGGACGCTGCAGGGGACACATCGCGGGAGCGAAAGACAAGGTAAGTGCTGCAGGGACCCCCTGAGCAACGCCGCATGGTAAGCCCGAGTGTAGCTCGGGGTTACTGCTCTTGGTATTGAAATTTTACCCTGAGCTACACTCGGGAAAACCGCTAAGGAGGTTAAAGGGATGCAAAAGCACTGCAAAATCTGCTCAGTGTGAAAGCAGCCTTGCTAATCTACGTTGGATTATGGAAATATGTAATGAATATCAAAAAAGCATCTACATGTGTTTCATTGATTGCACCAATTCATTCAACTGTGTTGTACATGACAAGCTATGGAAAGCATTACAAGAAATGGGAGTGCCAATGCACCTTGTACAGTTAATAAGGTCACTTTTTATCGACCAAGAAGCTACTGTTCGGACACAATATGACGACACTGAGTGGTTTAAAATTGGAAAAGGTGTACGACAAGGTTGTATTCTCTCCCCTTTTCTTTTCAATCTGTATGCAGAGGTCATCATCAGGAAACTAGATCTAGAAGAATCTGAAATTGGGGTGAAGATAGGTGGTAGGAATATTAATAACTTTCGATATGCTGATGATACAACTTTACTGGCAGAAACAGAAGAGGACCTGAAACACCTGATAGCAAAAACACAGGAGGAGAGTGGAAAAATGGGACTCCGTCTTAACATCAAAAAAACAAAGATCATGACAACATCTAAAACTCGAGCAACCAAAATATACATTGATGAAGAGGAAATAGAATGTGTTCATCATTTCTGTTTTCTAGGATCTATGATAAACCAAACAGGAGATTGCGCTCCTGAAATTATAAAAACGGATCGCATTAGGTCGAAACGCCATGCTAAGTATGCAAAAATTGTGGAAAAGTAAGGATATCAGCCTCATCACCAAATGCAAGCTGGTAAACACAATAGTTTTCCATATAACAACGTATGGGTGTAAAAGCTGGGTTATGAAAAGAGCTGATAGAAGATTGATGCATTCGAATTATGGTGCTGGAGAAGGCTATTGAGGATACCCTGGACAGCAAAGATTACCAACAGAGATGTTTTAGAGCGAGTTAAACCAGGAATAACTTTAAAAGGAAAGATAGTCAAATTACAGCTGACTTATTTTGGGCATGTGATGCGATCTGATTCCTTAGAGAAGGCAACATTACTTGACAACGTGCCATTGCACGAAACGCGTCAGAGGGCCAGCCTGCCTTGCCGACGCCACCTCTACCTGCTGTAGCCACGTGTCTGACCAGCAGCCATCTTGATTTATTATCCATCTGCATGCATGAGATGTTATTTTTGGCATATCAGATATAGCTATCAGCTATCTGTCATCACACATGAACTTGTGCTACTTGCATCCACTGCTTGGAGCTACTGCCACCTGTTGCTACATGCCTGTCATTACTCTTGTTACTTTAATATGTGACTACCATCATTGGGCTGAATACATTACTCCACTATATCAGCTTTTTGTCCTGGTGGCTTTGTTTTGAGCTACTTCAAGGTGGCTCTCCCATTGTTGCTGAAACACACCTATTGCCAGGTGTAATTTAAATCTGTAAGCTGTTCCCCCCATTAATGAGGGTCCATTGAGTGGTCCGGAGGATTGTTCCTGGGTATACCACCATGCGCCATCAGAGTGCCTTATTTCAACCAGGTTCCAGATGACCATCAGTGTCCCTTTTACTACATGCGTAAAATCATTTACGTCTGGCGAGTGCAAGCACACCCCTTTTCTTTCTAATCACGGAAGTCACGTGCACCTATGATTGTACGATGGAAGTTTAAGAGAATGTCCGCTATCTTCCTGCTTTGGGAAAAGCTGATGCATTTATTTTCAGCATATTCACGGACTCTTATTGATTTGATTTTTTTTTTTGTGTATGACTTATAATGCACCTATATGATATGGTTGTCACTTTATATCTGCTGTCTTCAATAAGACACCACTGTTATCACTTATTTGCGCAATCATCACTTTTTCCACTTTATTTATTCTTGCACTGCATTTTTTGATTACATATTTGTCTGAGGGTTTTAGAGGTTTTCCTTTAAGCTAGCAGCTTTTTTGTTATTATTTGACACCAGTATGCGCTCGCAATAATATTATTTTATGTACATCCTTTATTTTAATTTTTTTTGCAAGAGAGGCAAACCTTGCAATGTCCTTTGTAAATGTCCCTACTTATTTAAATAGATAATGATCAACTTTTTAGGTGTAATTTGTGGTGACTCTCCTAATATTTAGCCTTGCTATTGCCACTGCTGTATGTCATACGTTATTGGCAGTGAGGGATTTTACACACACTACCAACTGTTGGCTTTCTGATGACAGCAATCTGGCAGCTATAGGTTTTAGACTTCATGGGGTCAGTGTGGCAGTTCCCAAAGGTATCCATCGCCAATACAGCAAAGGAAAATGGCCATATAGATCACAACCCAGACATATCATCTCTGTTGATCACAACATGTATTTCTTAAAAACTAAATAACAGCAGATCCTATTAGCAGATAGCAAATACAGTGAGGTACTAAACAGAACCAAGCACTGATATCAGTTTGACAGCCATAGTGGCTGGAGCAAGTGATAAGTTAATTTCAGCATATCTGCCAGTTCTTTTGTCTTCAGTTTGAAAGCACACACATGTATATATCAGCTTAGATGGATGTGTTCACACATCACAATGCACCTTGTGTTTTATACTTCCATTCAAACCAGGCAACTGGATACTCCTGGTTATTGTTTCCAGTAAATTTTGGTGGTAAGCAGTTTAGTACGTTTCTCTACAGGAGTCGGCAAATACCATCTAATCTGCTCTCTCAGGTATTACAGCATCTATTGACAATCTATTGCCCCTGTGAGGAGGCCGTTTGGTGTTAGGAAACTAGGCAGGGACACATAGTATACATTGTCATGTGTGGTAATATGATTACTGCCCAGTTTAGTTATCTTTATGTTCAAAGAGAGATTATTATAATGACAGTTTGCAAAGCAGTGTTGGCAGCTACTGCACATGCTCAGTTTTCAGTGAGTTTCCATGCTGAGCATTTTCTCATCACATCTGAGCAGCCCATGTGATTATTGAATCACACATGTGGGCATATACACACTGGTAAATGACAGCCCACTCCCTCTCTCCCTCCTCCTCCATACTCACTAATGAGCTTAACACAATTGGGGTGGTATATTACATGTTGATTGATGGAGCCTTCACCTCAGTGTTATTCTAGGACACAGATTAGAGGGGCGTGACTGTGACTGGCAGAAATTCGCCCACACCATGTTATTGCTAAAATATAATAAGATTTGATTTCAAATATATGTTTGCATGATGATTTAAAAGTTTATTGATATTAGTTTTTTATATTCTATATCCCAAAGGTTGTTTTTTTTTTTCTTTTTTTTTTTTTTTAAATGTGACCAGCAGCAGAGGACTAGAAGATCCTCCTCTCACTGTTTCTCTACAGACAGGCTGGGAAAGAGCTAGGTCATGAGATCATGTGTGCTGTATATCGATTATGAAAAAGGTACTTAGATATTTTTTTTTATTAAAAAAATGAAAGTGCCATAACTTTAAGGTTAGGTGTTTAGAAAGCTTCAATCATTTTATGTTCTAAAACAGTGTTTTGTAGCAGGTTTCTTTTAAAAAAAAAAATATGACAACCTTCTTTTCAATTACCTCCTGCTCTATTTCTCTTATACAGCCTCTGTATATCTATGTGTGTGTATATATATTATACAAACAACACCATTATGCTAGGAAATTGACAATACAGCAATACGATTTGATTAATTATTGCCACAAAATGTACAAACTGTAGCTTTTAGATAAAGTAAACCTAAAGAAGCAGAGGTACTCCTTAGGGTACATGTATCACTGGTTGAGAACTACTGATCTAAAACAAATTTACTATGCCACTGCTTTTCATCTAATTGGGAGGATTCCTGGATTACTGATGATATTAAGTAAACCAATCAAAAGACTTTCTGAGATAAAATACTGCTGGGCTAGATGACTGAACTAATTTCTCTTCCACCAGATTAAATGTTTTGGTTCTGTTAATATTCAGTGTAACATTTCTGTCACTATGTGGCCAATTTATGTCTATTAAGCCCACATGGACAGGTATCCAAATCTTCTCATGCTTGAGAAAACAAGCAGCTGAGCCCTAGGAATAAAACCCTTTGACAAAACGCAGCAATACACATATGTGAAACTAAGAATTGCAAAGCATACAGTGCCCTCTGCAAGCCATACACATGGATTGCAGGTTTCATGGCCACAGATGTGCTTTAAAGCCAGAAAGTGCTAATAGTGAAATCATTACAAATAATATTTTCCTCAAAACAGTCACCATCAACAAATAAAAAAAACAAAACAAAACAAAAAAACGGAATTGTAATATATAGGCATAAGAGTGCTGCTTACATTTGGGCTAGCAGGAGATAGCGAGGCAATGTCAAGAACTTTTTCAAAGGATTGTACACCTAATTGAAAATCCTGAAAAAAAATGAGTAAAAAATGTTAGAATACATACAAAGACTCAAGATGACCTTCTTATATTTAGACCTCTACTTGCCAAAGTAAATAGCACTCCCTATGCTTGTCCTTTCCATTATTACTTTACTTTTTAATTTGGGATGCAAATGAAATTTCAGTGAAAATAGCCCTATCAGCATTTTGCAGATAGGAAAAAGTGAGCCAATACAAGTGCCGATAATGAGAGACCCCAGCCCCAATGAAGGGTGGACTGACTATTTGGCTGGGGGGTTTGGGAGGCTGTGTGTACTGCAGATGGGGGGGGGGGGGGTTGCCAGAAAAAGGCAGGAGAGGAGGTAAGCAGTTTATACAGTAAGGGAGCAGAGTATACAGACAGGCTCCCTCACTTGCTGCCACTAAACGTCATTGCCGATTTTAAATAAAATTTCCGGCTTTTTTTTCTTCTTTACTTTATAGCTCCGAGAAGGAGCGGTCATTCGCCCCACTGCTAAATTAACAAAGGAGTGGGGTCACCCAGTGACGTTACCCAGTGACCCCACCTCTTTGTTTACTTTAGCAGCGGGCAAATGACAGCTCTCTCTCGGAGCTATAAAGTGAAAAAAAAAAAGTCAGCAATTGCATTTAAAAACCGGCTGTGATATTTAGCAGCGCCAAGTGAGGGAGAGTGTCTGTATACACTGCTCCCTCACTGTATACACTGATCCTCTCCTGCGCCCTCATTGCACACACTCCCCCCTACAAAGAGGAGCTGTCACTTCTATGCTATCACATAGGGAACTACTGGTCCCCTACAGTGCCTTGAAAAAGTATTCATACCCCTTGACATTTTCCTTATGTATATGAACATTACTGATTGTTTAACACAGATATACTCAACCTGTGACCCGCAGAGCTGTCTGATGTGGTCTACGGCCTCAAACCTATGGCAACCCGCACAGCCTCTTTCGGGTGCACACTGCTCTACTGAATGATTGCAGGTCCTCCATGATCCTGGCAGCTGTCATACACAAGTTTCTATTGCACCCCCACTGTTCTCTTTCCTTTCTAAGGCTAGGCTCACACCTATGCAGGTTGCATTTGAGCCGTTTCTGCACTGCAGTTTGCGTTTTTGCACCTGCGTTTTTGAAACGTTTTACTTTTTTTTTTTTTTTCTTGTTGCTAGGCAGATTTAAAACGCATCAAAAACACACTATATACTTTTCTACAGCGTTTATATTGAAGTCCATAGAACCAAAAATGCAACTTTTTGCGTTCACAAAAGTCCCTGACCCTTTCCAAAAAATGCACTGGATGAAAATCGTGGAGATGTGAACATGTCCCATAGGGAATCATGTTAAATGGACTGTACTGAGTTTCTGCAAAACGCTGAAGAAAACGCTTAGGTGTGCACCTAGGGTAACACACAGACATGGGGAGAGGAGCCTTTAGTTGAATGGATTACCATTATCGAATGGCATCCATACAAGGGTTCTGAAGGTGGATACTCACAGTTGTGTAATGAGCTTGGTGTCATTCTGGGAGCACGTGGGTGCATTATGTGTCATTTTATCTTTGCCTAATAAAGTTTATTGCACTACTAGGCATACACTTCCCTGGTCTGTTGTTTTTAGTCTAGATTGTCCACAGTCTGTGTGTCAAAGGGGGATTATGGTGATCTGGTTAATTCTTTTTTGTTTTTGTGATTGTGATTAAACAGTGGGCAAACATCCAGCAGGGATTGGTCCCACTGAAACTGTTGACCCTGTTTGTTGTTTAAACTCTACAAGTGGTTATACAGAGATACTGCCTGCAGCTGCAGGAATCATCCCAGTTTAGTTTCTTTCAGCTGGGAGGCCGCTTTCTTGTAAAAGCAATCTTAGCGGCTAATTATCTGTCCCACCAGGAGACTTGAGCGTCCAGCCGGTGATTCCCCCAGTTGACCATAGAGGCAATGGAAGACCAGAATGGCTCAGATCACCTCCAGTCTCAGAAACCAGAAGCATTGACCGTTCATCACTTCAAGTTTCACCAGATGTAAACAGTGCCATTTTTAAATTGGGAAAACATCTGATCACACCGATCTTGGTGCAATCAGATGCTGTGAAGGGCAGAGGAGAGATATGGGGTCTATTAGCGTAAAGACTACCTGTCACTGCCTATTGCTATCACAGGGGATATTTATATTCCCTGTGATAACACTAAAAAGTGCTAAAAAAAAAATAAAAATTTCAAGCGCCAGTTAAATAAATAAGATTAAAAAAAAATATTTTTGAAGCACTTCCGTCCCCTGTGCTCGCGCGCAAAGGCGAACACATGTGTCTGTCCTATGTGTACACAAACAGCGCTTGCCCCACATGTGAGGAATCAGCACATGTCAGATCAAACGTCAGATCGAGGGCAGTAAGTTCTAGCACCAGACCTTCTGTGTAAATCTAAAGTGGTAACCTGTAAAGGCTTTTAAAGCGTCACCTAGGGATAATAAAAATTTATACCATTTGTCGCTGCTGCACGGGTGTGCACAATTTTAAAGCGTTACATGTTTGGTATCCATTTACTCGGCATAACATCATCTTTAATATTTTCCCAAACAATTGTGTATTATATTGTGTTTTTTTTGTGCATTAAAATTGCAGTACCCATCATTTTATTCTCTAGGGCCTTTACTTTAAAAAATATATAATGTTTGGGGATTCCAAGTAATTTTCTAGCACAAAATATTGATTTTTACATGCAAACAAAAAGTGTCAGGAAAGGCGTGGTCTTCAAGTGGTTCAGTATTCCCATGTGAAGGAGGCATTATGATTGACTTTTAATTTATGTACAAGTTAGGGGTGCACGGAGGACATCATAGTAATGTGGCCTCTTTATTGCATTGTTTCTCAACTATATTAAAGCATGAGCTGCATTATAAAAAAACAATATTTATTAGGTCCTTTGTTTTCAGAGCTGGGACATCAGCATTGTTAGTTATTAATGCAGGGCTGTTATTATTTAGGGTTGTTGCTCCCAGCATCGAATACAACAAGGATTCTGCAGCAGGAGTCTATTTTAGGGGTTAGTTTAGTGCTAGGATCTGGTTTTCGGGGTTTAGTTTAGCCATTACTATTAAGTTTAGGATTCAGGTGGTTAAGTTTAAAGTTCTGTTAATCCTCCAGTCCTCCAGCAGCATATACTGACCTTCTTGCTCTCTTTACTGGTCTGCGTGGCTATAGGGAGACGGAGAAAATGCCTTGCATAAGCTAGTCACTCAAAATTTAGCTTACACAGTGCTATGGACTCTCCCCATGTGGTAATGCTGACTGGCGAATACATAAAGGGTTGTTGTGCATCTATAGCTATCAATAATGGCAATATGTGTGGTATAAAAAAATAACAAAAAATGCATGGTACTGACAGATAGAATTCAAGTGAGCTAGATTGGCTCTTCCAGTTAACAGACGTATAAAAAGACATCTGAAATTAAGAAATTCTTCAAATAAAATTTAGTTGTTAAACAAACAGGAAACTCTGCTGCGCAGCTTGTAGTTTACCATGGTTCCAAGTTCGCTGTTAAATTTAGGAACATCTTTTTTGCCCTCGCTAGGTTCGGACTCCTGCAATAAAAGAGATGAATATAAACAAAGTGATAGAAAACTAGTTGGAGAAATATGCTTTAATGTTTTTTCAACACTGTTCTCTAAAATGGCCTATAGCTCCTATACAACATTTTTAGTAAATACATTTTCTTGGTCCTCTAGTTAGGTTGTCCAAGAGATTTTCACTGTGATCCTTCAGTTACAACCATCCTATGTATACAAAATAGAATATAACTGTATCACACATAAGGATGGTTTCTTGATGTCATCAGCTTTTGAAGAAAATAAAAAAAAGACGAACATTCTAATAAGGTACTATGCATGGTCAGCTTAACAAAGCAGAATCTTTCATATACGGTCATGGCCAAAAATATTGGCACCCCTGAATTTCTGTCAGATAATGCACCACTTTGCCAAGAAAAATTTTACAATTACAAATGTTTAGGCACTCTCATGTTTATTTATTTTGTTTGTATTGATATGACACAAAAAGAGGAGAAACAAAAAGCCAAATCTGACACATTCTACGCAAAACCCAAAAAATGCACAGGACAAAATTATTAGCACCCTCAATTTAATATTTGTAGCACACCCCTCGAAAAAAATAACTGAAGTCAGTCACTTTGTGTAACCATCAATGAGTTTCTTCCACCTCTACTGGAATTCTGGACTACTCTTCTTTCACCAACTGCTCTAGGCCTCTCAGATTGGAAGGGTTCCTTTTCCCAATCTTTCCACAGGTATGGAAATGATATCTGGACTCATTGCTGGCCAGTTCAGTACTCTCCAGCACTTTGTATGAAACTGTTTCTGGGTGCTTTCTGATGTGTGCTTTGGGCCATTGTACTGCTGTAAGACCCATGAACTCTGATGGAGACCCAACTTTCTGACACCAGGCCCTACCTTGCACCCCAGAATTCTTTTGTAGATTTCATAATGCCATGCACGAGCTCAGGACATCCAATGCCTGAAGTAGCGAAGCAACCTCAAAACATCAGTAAAGCTCCACCATGTTTGACAGTAGGGACTGTATTCTTTTCTTTAAAGGCCTCATTTCTTTTTCTGAAAACAGTAGAATGATGGGCTTTACCAAAAAGCCAAAATTTTGTTTTTTCTGTCCAAAGCACATTCCTCAGGTAAGTTTTGGCAAAATCCAACCTGGCTTTTTTATGTTTCTGTGTCAGAGGTGGGGTCCTCCTGGGTCTCCTACCATAGAGTCACTTTTCATTCAGATGGTGACGTATAGTGCGTGCTGACATAGTTGTACCCTGTGCCTGAAGGTCAGCTTGAATTTGTCTGGAAGTTGAACGAGGTTTTTTATGTTACAATTTTCAGAAGGTGCCAATAATTTTGTCCAGTACATTTTTGGGGTTCTGCATGGAATGTGTCAGATTTGGCTTTTTGTTTCTCCACTTTTTGTGTCATACCAATACCAACAAAACAAATAAACATGAGAATGTCTAAACATCTCTAATTTTCTGGGCAAAGTGGTGCATTAGCTGACAGAAATGCAGGGGTGCCAATATTTTTGGCCACGACTGTACACTACACTGGATTATTAAAGCTGAACTCTGGGTAATGGGTGGGGGGGGGGTAGCACAGACAAGACCAGCCACCCTGCACAAGCAGAGAGAGCAGCAGTGACCAGTCTTTATTGCAAGAAACTCCTGCTCACATGCAAACTACAAGCATTGTTTCATGATAAATGACTACATAGATCTGAAATACAAAAAGCACACAAATATTCAAGGAAGAATACACATGCCACTTGTACGTATATTGTCATTTTTGTTATGCCCATAGTTCAGATTTGAACCTAGAGATATAAAAATTATTATTGCAACAAGTAGAAAACTAACATAGCCATTACAAATTCTACAGACTTATTCTATAAAACTACTAACAAAAAACTGGGTATTCGAATCTAAATATTTTCAGGAAAACTAAAATGGCTAAAACAGTAATATAGTAGTAACTACAGGAAAGGTCAACTAAAAACAAAGCTAATGGTATAAAGATGAGGATTTTTCCTACATCTCGTTCATCTTGTTGTTGGATGCAATCTCTGGCACTAGAACCCAGCTCTCCAGCCATGGAAGGTGCGGAGTTTTCAGATGCCTTTCCATCCTTAGATTCTTTGTCAGAGACATTAGGTACAGGCTCTTCTTTCTGTGCAGACATTTCAGCTGGAGAACAATGCGCCAACTCACACTCTCCAGCCTGGAAAGTCTCATCAATGCCCACACTGGAGTCTTGGCCGGCTTGTGATGAAACAGCAGCGGAAAGGGAAGATGGATGCACATTCCCACTTCCCATCAATCTCCTCTAGAGAAATCGATGATAAATATTTCCCCATGTTACAACTCTACTACACAAGAGCTCAGCAAGAGCAGAGGGATAACAAAGCACTTAAAATAAAAAAAAAGACACATTCAAGCACAACCAGAAAATATAAAAGTTGAACTTCAGCTTGACAGAAAGTTGACAGACCACATCAAACAACTGGCATTTTGATATATGAATGCGAATATGATTAGCGATCACAAATAATTTGCAACAATATTCAAAGTTTGGAATTCATCTCGGGGATATCATGCTGCTCCACGTAATCTTTTATTATAAACTGTTCATATGCTACTTAATAAAATACTGTGATGCTAATCAATTCATTGCATTCATACAGATACCATTTTTCTACAAGCTCTAATATATCTAAAATTGGCTAAAAATAAAAAGCCAATTTGTGCTGCCAATCTAATCAACATGGACCCTTTTAGAACTACTGGGAAAGTCAGGTGAGTTTACAAAGCAGTGACGGGCAGAATAAGGATCACACACATGCGGGAGGTCCATGTCAACACTACTGAGTGGTATCATGCCCAGTGGAACCTCTTTCTGGCTCTCCTCTTCATCCTCAGATTTTCCAAGGTTCTGCAGCTCTGGATCTGTGCCCTCTTCTGTGCAGCTCGCTGCAGCAGACTCCTCTTTCTGTTCACTCTCCTGGGTGATACACACAAACAGATCCCCCATGCCTTTTCTAGACATGCTCATTGAACAAACCAGCTAATTGCTTATTCTTTCAACTAATCTAAACTGAAGTATAAAACAAAGATTTCAACTCCCAAATAACATATTAAAACGTATATATTGCCCTGCATAGTGTATATTGATTACATCTAAAGTTAAACTTTAGGCAAACATCTGCATACACAGATGACAAATGTAAAAAGGAGCCGTTTTACCTGCCAAAGTAGAGTAGTAATTCTATGTATCCATTCTTGAGATTTACACAGACCTGTCTGGCAGGGAGGGACACAATGGGGTTGATTTACTAAAACTGGAGAGTGTGAAATCTGGTGCAGCTCTGGCTAGAAACCAATTCCGGGTTTTGGCTAGAAACCAATTCCGGGTTTTGGCTAGAAACCAATTCCGGGTTTTGGCTAGAAACCAATTCCGGGTTTTGGCTAGAAACCAATTCCGGGTTTTGGCTAGAAACCAATTCCGGGTTTTGGCTAGAAACCAATTCCGGGTTTTGGCTAGAAACCAATTCCGGGTTTTGGCTAGAAACCAATTCCAGGTTTTGGCTAGAAACCAATTCCAGGTTTTGGCTAAAAACCAAATTCCAGGTTTTGGCTAGAAACCATTTTCAGGTTTTTTTTCCAGGTTAGAAGCTGATTGACTTCCATGCACAGCTGCACCAGATTTTCCACTCTCAAGTTTTAGTAAATCAACCCCAATCTTTCTTTGCTGCACTTACATTACACTTACAGGTCACGCTTCCCACCCCGCCTTTGACTGGGCAGTGGAAGAACCTACAGCATACTGATGAACTGATCTGCCTGTGGACTCTGCTATCTCCTCCTATCACCAAGTCCTTCATCTGCACATGAGCTCTGCAGCACTGCAGTGACTCTCTGTGCTGCTTCCTCCTCCTCTCCCAGGCAGACCTCTGCTGTACAGGGACTTTAAAAGGTTGATAAAAGTCCAAATTCAGGTAATTATACTTCTAGCTTCATAAAGTGAGAGGCTTCAGCACTGAAGCACTTATAATTTGTGTTAATTTTTTATTGTCTTAGCTAGCTATTTGAGAATGCAGCCACAATACTGAAAGAAGGGGTGAAGGGGTGCTAAGAGAAGTTGAAAGGCTCCCTGTACTACCATGTACTAATTTGTTCTTAAGCTGCAAGTTCTGGAGTAGTAGATTGTACAGTCCAAATGGTAGCTCTTAATTTAATTCTTGTAGTAATAAGAATAGTCATGTAACACAGAAATAAAAAGGTAGCCTGTTTGAAAATTGCCATTGATCATGTAGGCCTAGAACAGAAGACTAATAAATTAGAGCCCCATATGCAGCCATTTTCCCGTTTGGTTAATATGGTATTTCAATATCTACAAACTGTATCCTTGTTCCAGGAAAGCATGCAACATTTACCTATAATGCAGTGCTTCTATCCATGTGTGCTAGTAACATATTACAGGAATGACAATGCAGAGAAAATAAATACTGTATGTATGATGCCGGACAAGGATCCTTGTCAGATATACTGATAATGCCTTCCAGAAGACAGTATACCTCTGTGCGCAGAGCACTAATCTATGTATGACAGTTTATTTAGTGAATCATAAAAAATAAAAATCTACTCGATCTTTATGAGACTTCTACTTTACTTTTATGGTCTAAAGAAAGATACAGAATTTAGTAATTTTATTATGTCCCAAACCCTGCCAGTAAACACCATAACAACCCCCTACAAACACAATAAACAAATATTCTTACCTCATATTCAAAGCCACCTCCCAGAGATCCGATGTCCATATGCAGGTTTTTAAGAAGTCGAGCCGATCCCCGTGGGCTCTGAACGGGAAGAAAATAATGTTAATGCAATTGTCGGTACCATGACAGAATTTTTTCTGTCCTCAAGATACAGGGGCCAGTCAGATTCAGTTATCACTATACTCTTTCATCTCATCCCTCTGACATTGACTTAGGAAATCTTTGACCACTCCTCCATGCAAAATTGCATTATCTGCCCTTTTCAAATCCCACAACTACATTTCAATGTTGTTGTTTCATCAGGCCTAGACAAATGTTTTTAACACAGTGACACAGCTATAGCCAAAAGTCAGAAGTTTTGTCAAATACAAAACACGCCATTACAGATGACAATCATTTTATCCTGCTTGCGTTCCACTATCTTCCCTAACCCATCGTATAAAACAACTCCAACTCTTGGTTGTACCTTTCTTTACCCATGTGATCAGGTGGTACCAAGCGCTAACTTAAACCAACCTGTGATATTCTGCAACATGTATGAAAGCCTGTTTGCCCCCCAAAAATTTGTTCTCATCTGCAGTATTTTCCACCCTTGTTAAAATAAACAAAACGTCTATTCTTTGCACACTGTATGATCCACAGCTACCACACAGCTCATAGATCGTAGATACTGAGCAGCTCTTACATATACAGTATGTGTTAGCTTTATGAAGAATAAACTCAAATTAGGTCCCAGACTGAGATGGCAATACTGACAAGGTATAGAAGGATGGCTGAAGTCATGTCTACGTTAATGTAATTTTTATTATTTTTCAGCATTCCTATATCAGAAGATTTTAATAAAATAATATCTGGTGAACCTACAATGAAGGTCCTGTCACAGATGTGACCTTATCTCTATTCTTTACACCCTACTCTCGACCTCTGAGTCCTCCCCTAGCCCCTCATATGTCACCAAGTGGGAAAGGGATCTGGGCCCCCAGCTGAGCCCAGAGGAATGGGACCGCATATGGCAAGCAACTAAATCCTCCTCACAGAATGTAGTAGTAGCAGTTGAGACGAATTACAAGGTCCTATCCCGGTGGTACTTGGTTCCGGCCAGGGTCGCTAAATATACTCCGGGATACACTCCGGACTGCTTTTGAGGCTGTGCGATGAGGGGCACATACCTTCACACTTGGTGGTCCTGCCCAATAGCCCACATCTTCTGGGATGGTATCTTCCACATGCTATCTATCCTTCTCCAAAAACCACTGGCGCCAACATCGAACATCACCTTACTCAATTTACAACCCATCTCGATTCCTAAACTCCAGTTTAAGCTTCTCTTGCAGGTCACAACCTCTGCCAAACAAACTATAGCAAAATCCTGGAAAACCCCATCTCTTAGCATATTGACGGTTCGGAACAAGGTGACACAGGCCATGATACATGCCAAAGTGGAAGCTACCATCACAGACACAGTCCCCAAATTTTTGTCGATCTGGTCTTCCTGGGTTGATCACTTCTTCCCTCAGGGTTTCGATGAATCGCTGCTTCTTCCCTAATACCTTCCCTCCGGAGCACTGGTCCGGTCCCACATCCTCCTCCCCATCCTGGAAGTCACACACCTTACCTACCTCCTTCTCCCCTCCCCCTCCTCGTTTTTTCTCCCTCCCCTTTCTTCTTCCCCCTCTCTCTTTATACCGGTCTACTAAGTTTGCAATAATCATACTGTTGCTATAAGGCCCTGGGCCTCATGTTTTCATCTGCTACATATACTGGAAATGATTGTTGTTTCCTGCTGTATGTCTTATACCCTTATAACCCAATAAAATGTTTGAACAAGAAAAAATTTGAAAAAACAGTATTTTATTGGGAAAAAAAACAAAAAACACAATCTGGTTATACATCAATTTGCCAGAACTCAGCTCAAATCAAGAGAAATCCTTCTCTAAAGTCCCCTAAGAAACCAACAGTTCCAGGAGTGGCAATCTCCTTGGTACCACCATTGTGCTCAGAGGTACCTCTCACCAAACTTCCATCACTACTGGAACTTACTACTATCTCGGTGGGAGAAAACATTGAGGGCTGGGTTCACATTTCATGCAGTCCAGTGCGTTATTTTTTTTCTGCATCCAAAACACACAGAAAGTAGGTTACATGGTTGTCAATGGCGTGGTTTACAGAAAAACAAAGGAGAACATGCTGCATTTTTCCTGCACAGAACTCTACTGTAACGAGATAAAACGCATAAAAAATGCACTGGAACACATAAAAAAGACAAAAGAAAACATCAAAAATGCACTGGACCCCAAATGACACAAAAAAAGAAGGGAAAAAAGCAAAATCTGGAGCACATAAAAAATGCATCGGAAATGCACTGGAACATGTAAACACGCGCATGCAGAAATGCATCCAGACTGCGTTTATATTGTGTGAACTGGCCCTGAACATTGTAGGGGGCCAAGGAATGCAGAGTAGAAACACCTAACAGCAAATCAAAAGGGGATTTTGTTATGCTTAGAACAGTGTAGAGATATAAGAAATATTCTTGGAAACCAAAAGCCCTGTCATATATGGGCAAAACATTGAAAATGTCCAAACAAAATAAAAATAAAATATAAGAATTGGAAAAACAACCGTCTGGACATATCACAAACATTAGATGGCCAGAGCATACATACTGAGTTCTAAAAAAATAAAATAAATAAATTATACAAAAACAGCTGAAAAAAATAAAGATAAGAAAATGCTGCTGGATAAGCCGTATTATGGAGACAGAGGAAGAAAGTATGGAGAAACAATAGGGTCTAGCTACCGACAGGCTATGTTCCATCCAGCAGAGGAAAAAAACAAGATGCTATACAGAAGCTCATTATTTGTTCCTCTCCATTGTACCTAATACTTAGATTGCACTCCAGAGCAATGATCATTATACTTACAATAGTCAATACAGCATTGATTTACCTGGAAGCCAAGACAAATGACTACTTAGGGTTTCTGTGCAGTGCAAGTAACACATTGGACAGCAATTTCACTGGTGAGCCTGTCAACATTTTCTATTCACCACTCTGACCTTGATACTCTGATTTCTTCATATCCGATTAAATAATATAAAATACACAACAAAATACCTTGCGTATATGACAGGCCACACTGTCATTTCAGGTAGTTATATAAAGTACTTTCCTTCTTTCATCTGAGTACCTATTATTTATAAATATTAAATAGTGTATCAATTAACAAAATGAGACCAGTTTAACTGGAGGTAGCTACATCCTACCTAAAATTACACACAAGAAAGCTCAGACTTGGCCAAGGCCACCAGTGTGTGTCTACCCCACTTTTTTCTTTATTACCGTATATTCTCGAGTATAAGCCGAGTTTTTCAGCACATTTTTTGTGCTGAAAAACGGCCCCCTCGGCTTATACTCGAGTCAACGTCTGCAGATGGCTCCCCCCCCCCCCTTCCAACAGAAGGGAAACTACGGTAAGTACAGGGGTGGGCAGGGGGCTGCTGTCTCTTACCTGGCTCCGGTCCCACGACGATCTGGTCCAGGAAGCGCGGCTGCTCCTTCATTCGGTTCCTCCACTGGATGTTCGCGGCGGCTGCTCGGCTCCGCCTTCTCACCGGTGATTGGCCGCCAGAACTGTAGCTCAGGAAAGGCACACAGGCGGCCAATCACCGGCGAGGAGGCGGAGCTGAGCGGCCCCGCGAAAATTGAGTGAAGGAGATGCAGGTAAGTGTGCCATGCTTAGGTGCTGCTGCAACCACATATGTTGGCTGCAGCAGCACCATACTGGAACAGGGGTCAGCAAGTGTCAGTGGGAGGAATAGTGCCCCATCATTGGTGTCACTGATACCAATGATGGGGCATTATTCCTCCCACTGACACCAACGATGGGGCACTTTTCCTCCCCCCCACTGACACCAACGATTGGGCACTATTCCTCCCCCCCCACTGACACCAATGATGGGGCACTATTCCACCCCCCACTGACACCAATCATGGAGCACTATTCCACCCCCCACTGACACCAATCATGGGATACTATTCCTCCCCCCCACTGACACCAACGATGGGGCACTTTTCCTCCCCCCCGCTGACACCAACGATGGGGCACTATTCCTCCACCCCCCCACTGACACCAATGATGGGATACTATTCCTCCCACTGACACCAATGTTGGGACACTATTCCTCCCACTGACACCAATGATGGGACACTATTCCTCCCACTGACACCAAAGATGGGGCACTATTCCACTGACACCAATAATGGGGTGCTATTCCCCCCACTGATACTAATGATGGGGCACTATTCCTGCCACTGATACCAATGATGGGGGCTATTCCTCCCACTGACACCAATGATGGGGCACTATTCCTCCCACTGACACCAATGATGGGGCACTATTCCTCCCACTGACACCAATGATGGGGCACTATTCCTCCAACTGATACCAATGATGGGGCACTATTCCTCCAACTGATACCAATGATGGGGCACTATTCCTCCCACTGATACCAATGATGGGGCACTATTCCTCCCACTGACACCAATGATGGGGCACTATTCCTCCCACTGACACCAATGATGAGGCACGATTCTTCCCACTGGTGTTCCCACCCTCGGCTTATACTCGAGTCAATAGTTTTTCCCAGTTTTTTGTGGTAAAATTAGGTACCTTGGCTTATATTCGGGTCGGCTTATACTCGAGTATATACGGTATATTACCATGGCTCCTGCTCACCTGATCTTCACTTTCTTGGTCACCATTTTCATCTTCCTCTGCCAAACCAGGTAGAGAGAGACTCACTCTTTCCTCTGAGAGTTTCCCTGCGGCTGTCTTGAGGTATGATGTCATTTTCTAGTGGTATGTAGCAAAGATTAATAAAGTATAACAATAATAAAAATACAACACTTTTCCTCTTTTAAGAAAGAGTCCAAACACTGTACATTTAAGCTTTACATAAAGAATTAAAGAATAGTTTCACTTCTAAAAAAGCTGTCATTTACAGACTCTCCACAGTGTATTTCACAGGGTTAAATACTTACCTGCAAGCCCCATTCTCTATTGTGCAGACCTACCTGTTTGAAAACAATCTAAGCTAGGCCCACCATTTACTGCTCCCTCATTCATTCCTATGGCAGGGGCATGCTCCTATTGATAGCTGGGCATTTTGTAATGTCTGCTCTTGGGCAGGAAGTTTAATTTTAAATGTTTAAGTAGAGTTTACAATAAAGAAGGGGGGGGCAGACTCTCAGGCAACAATAAAAATCTAACAGGAGATCCAATATTAGCTCTCTTCATCAAAACTGAAAAAAAAAAAAAAAAAAAACAATTCTAAGGCTCTTCTGAAAATTCCATGAGCTCCACTCCGTTTGCTCCTCCTGTACCTCAGAGGAGCCCTGTGGATACCAGAGTTCACTTAACTTGCCAGGCAGAGACTCATTGGTTAAGCAACTTAAAGCAATATGTGTTATATGTTGTACAATGCAAGGTAGCTTTTCTATCGGATTTAAAAATGTAATTAATTGCACCTATTTACATTTTTTCTAATCCTCAGAACTTCAGATCATAAGATATGCACAATTGGTAGCTGCATGCGCTACCTATTCAATTGTCTTTAGTTTTTATTCAAGAAAATTGTCTTATCTTATTATTTACAGGTTGTTTTATAAAAGGAAACAAGTCAGATGATTGCATAATTTATTTGAAGATTAATTAAAATTGCAAACTCTGTGAGAAAGGTGTTCTGTACTTCAGAAGAAAGTATATAGCTAAACTGATTAATTTAAGGAAAAGGCAGCAAAAAGAACAAACAAATAAAAGTCAAAAGTATGGTCCACAAATGATGAGCTTACTAATGTAGCATTTAATGGGACGAGTCAGTACTTGTATAAATAGTCCTGTTACTTACACCAGATGTTCCACCTAAAAGATTGTCAAATCCGCCAGAGCTCCCTGTACTGCTACCCTGAGATCCTCGCATTCCTCCCGAGCTTCCAACCGAATCACCCACTGTTCGAAGAGGAGCTAGACCTCCCACTGGTCCTTGCACAGGTCCAAGTGGAGATCCAAGAGACTGTCAGGATATAATAAGCAACATACAATTCACTACTGGTAAGAGTTTGTAGATCTTGCATACCTACGTAAAATTACACTAAAGTGCCAGTGATTGAGATATATATATATATATATATATATATATATATATATATATATATATATATATATATATATATATACACACACACACACACACACACACACACACACACACACACACACACACACACACACACACACACATACATACATATACACATACATACACACGCACTATAAAAAGCAGTGCCCTTGGCATATCTCTTGGTCCGGTGGCTGGAGAGGTGGTTGGAGGATCTCAGCTTTTATCTCCCATCAAGACTTTGTACTATAAAGCTATGCCACCAATACATGTCCTGGCTTCAGTACATTCTAACTAACTAACCCAAACTAAGTATGGAGATTTTGCTACTGATTTCACTTGCTGCATGCCTATTGTGATCATAGAACTCAAAATGTAATAAACCCAGCGAGAGGCAGAAAATGACCATTTTCAGAGAGAGGGGAGTGATGGCAGTCCTCATGGTTTTATTATAACTGGTTTCTTGTAAAGTATATGTGGGGTCTTATTTTTTGGGGGGGGAGAGAGAGAGAGAGAGAGAGAGAGAGAGATTGATTTAGCTTTAAAGGGTAAGTTCACCATTTGTAAAGAAAAAAATTATTTTTTTACATTGCAGCCTCTAAAGAACTGCATCAATGATCAGCAGATTGTGGATGCAATGCCAGGATCCCACAAACTTTCAGTAAGCTGTCTGCCCATACCTTCTGCAGTACCAATGAACTACAAGAGCGCTCACCAGCACCCTCACAGTTCATTGAATACTACAAGCCATCAGCAGCAATAGCATGAAACTGAATGCATGACGCGGCCGCATGGGCAGAGCCTCGCATGAGTGCACTGTTTTCAGGTTTGGGGAGAATCTCCCCTGCCAATCACCGGTGGCGGGAGGTGGCTGCATAGGTGCAAGTTACATGTTACACTCTATATATAGGTGGCGGGAGGTGGCTACATAGGAGCAAGTTACATGTTACACTCTATATATAGGTGGCAGGAGGTGGCTACATAGGAGCAAGTTACATGTTACACTCTATATATAGGTGGCGGGAGGTGGCTACATAGGAGCAAGTTACATGTTACACTCTATATATAGGTGGTGGGAGGTGGCTGCATAGGAGCAAGTTACATGTTACACTCTATATATAGGTGGCGGGAGGTGGCTACATAGGAGCAAGTTACATGTTACACTCTATATATAGGTGGCGGGAGGTGGCTACATAGGAGCAAGTTACATGTTACACTCTATATATAGGTGGCTGCATAGGAGCATGTTACACTCTATATATAGGTGTAACACGCGCATAAAGATGAACTTAGCCTCTAATTGTTTTCAGTTCTACTATCAAATGGTCAGATGTGGTTCTGTAGCTCTTTTCCGATTATAACATTTTATTTCTTATAAACAGTTCATCTATCTGATATTATTGGAAGAGTAGGGACTGGTCAGAGATGCCTCACTTTTAAGCAGTTGGCCAGCTTAAATATGTACTGCAAAATACTCAAACCGATAACTCCTGTCTTTAATGCAAAAAAAGTGTTTTTACAGCAGTGTGCAAAACATTAATTGGCCCTGTTCACATTATCGACTTTTGACAGTGCAATTTTTGCATTAATATTTCACTTGAATGAACTGCAATATGAGCGTTTGTTGCTTGAGAAGAAGCTTTTGCATCTTTTCAGGCGACAAGCTTCAGCTTCCTGCAAAGGCACGGTTTTCTGTGATTGCTGCACGATCCTGTCACACAGCAAATCGCATCGCATTCAGAATGCCATTGAAGATTAATGGCACCCAAACATTCGCCGCACGTTGCGCAGTGATTGCCATGTGATTTGGAATCGTGCGCATCAATTCTGCCTGCGATTCCAAATTGCGAAGTGTGAATGGAGCTGAAGCTTTGTCAGCAAAGACATGCAGGAGAAGGAGTTACAGTGGAACACTCTGAGGCCCCATTCACATTATCACGTATCAGGAACGAGAACTCCTGCTACACAAAACTTTGACAGCGTGATTTTTACATGATTCTGCATGTCATGTGTCACTCCTGCTCCTTTTCGGACAACAAGCTTCACATGCTTCTATTGCGCAACAATTGTGTCAGAATTGCATGGCATATGGGGTGCCATTGAGTCCCGGTTCACACTAGAATACAGTGAGGGAAACCTACATTCCAAATGCACTGTCCTTTTGATCTGCAGTGGGTATCAGTGCAATGTTAACAACACCCCAAACACCGTGCGTTTGCCTGCACCGGATCACATAATACAAAACTACCATGCGATCCAGTTTCAGTGCATTTCCAAAACACTACTTTGGAGTGATGCCGTGCAATTTGAGCCCATTCAAAATGAATGGACTCAAATTGCACCGCACTGAATCGCATATGAATTGCACAGGAATGCACAGCACATTCTTGTGCATTTCGTAGGCGATTCACAGCGTGAACCTATGCTGAAGGATACTGGCACCCAAACAAGTGCTGCAATTGTCACTTGATTTGGAATTGCTGTGGTTCTACCTGCAATTCCAAATTGCAAAGTGTGAATGGAGCCTAAGAAGAGCAAAAAGGGAGATAATGGGTTACCCGGTATAGCAGTGCAAACTGGGAAGTATGTTGAAGAAAAGAGGGGTAAAACAGTAAAAAAGAGAAGAGCAGAGAAATACACACCTACACCCTCCCAGAGGATGTAAAGCTGAAAGTGTGCAAGTAGTATCTTCCAGTAACCCTAACAGGAAAGTGTGCTTCTCTTTTCATATTATAAACAACCAGCAATGTATGCCCTTTTTTTTTATTTTTTATTTTTTTTTAAAAAAAGAGGAATTTTGGTGAACAAACAGAAAATATTGATATACAAAATTAATTATTCACTATATATGGCCCATAAGGGATCTAATACATGGTAATTTCACTGTGGGGTCACTGTATTATATATTGCTGTATAAGCGCTACATCACTTTTGTAATATTTCAAACAGAAAATATTGTCTGGTCTGGAGCACACAATCAGATCACCAATCCCTCAAGAGGAGCAAATAACAAGAAATTTGCTTTGAGAGTGATGTGGCAGTCTAAATCCTACTCAGTCAGCTCTGGTAATGTGGTCCAACAGAAAGCCCAAACTCAAAAAGAGTGCAACCTCACCGTTGCTGGGTAACTTGGCCAGATCATAATTAGGATTCTGCTTCCAATGCTGCAGACATTTAATGGAGTAATACTCTGGTTCTGTTGGATATCAGTGGCCAAATAAGTACATTCTTTCAAATTGGGATAGCACCTAACAGGAAAGTATAGTTCTATCTCAATATGCTACTGACGTCAAAGGGGGTTAGAGAATCTCTCTCTATAACCACTGTGGCCATAAAAGTGGCATCCTAATTGGAACTGGTTACCTAGGGAGTCAGGATATTGTTTGCAAGCCTGCTTCTCCTAGAAGTTCCAGATGTGAACTGGCTGTGGTTGTTAGGGCCAGTTCACACTACATGCATTTCAGTGTGCTTTTTTTTCTGCATCCAAAATGCACAGAAAGTAGGTTATATGATTGTCATTGTCATAGTTCACATCAGTTCTTGCAGTTCCAGTGCGTTCCAGTTGCAGAAAAAAAGAAGTAGAACAGACTGCATTTTTCCTGCACAGAATTGTACTGAAACGCAGTAAAACACATCAAAAATACACTGGAACGCACATGTCCCTATTTAAATTGAAGAAAAATAGAGGGGAAAAAATTAAATGGAATGCATCAAAACCACACCGGAACGTGCCAAAAACACAAAAAATGTGCATGCAGAAACGTATCTAGAACGCATCTGGACTGCGTTTCTACAGTATGAACTGACCATTAAGAAAAGTAGGGCCCCCTGGGCCAGTCTAGCTTGGTGGCACTGGAACCCATGCAACTGGTGGGCACAGAGCAGCAGACACTCGTGTACCTTTTTTTGGGCTCATGCACACGGGTCTTAAAAAAAAAAAAAAAAAAATCAGCTTACACCAAAAGGTGTGTCCTAAGAGAAGCTGTTGAGAAGGATTTACACACATATGCAGGTAAATGTATTCCACTGGCCAGAATAAATTAATATTGTGACCAGTAGAATGCATTTAGGCATAAAGCCATACATCCAAAAAAGTGCAAGTAAATGTATTCCAATGGCCTGAATAAATGAATATTCTGGCCAGTAGAATGCATTTAAGCTCAGCGCTAGTTGTACATTAACACTGGACATGCATGAGTTTAGAGGCATTTTTTCTGCCATGTTCTGGTAGAAAAAAAATAGCAGAATTTCTGTAGCATAATTCATACACCTTCACATTCATACATGTGCATGAGGCCTTGCAGAAGTTCTGTGATAAAACATTAAATCAATAACAAAGAACAAACAAACCTTGTGTGAAAGAAAACCATTCTTCAAGTATTTCAATAACATCTGTCACCAATTGCATCAAATGTGATACTGCAGATTTTTGTGGAGCTGTAAGTTACGGTTACTTAGGAGTACCTCTTTCATTCAGCCTGGAAACATCCAACCCCTCATAAGGATTTGACATGAATGCCTTATATACAGTAAATAACTGTGCCTGCCCATGGCTTACCAATACAGGCCTGGGAATATCCTTTGGTTTCTTATCTTTTTTCTTTTCTTTTTTTTTCTTTTTCTCTTTCTTCTTTCCGCCACCTTGACCCTGGACCTTATCTCGCTCCTGTGCAACAAGTTCTCTATAATGCTCATCTATGGGATGGTCCCATGTGGACTGGCCAGTTGCAAAGTTGAAATAATAGATATCACCGGTCACATCCTGGCTGAAAAGAGCAGGAATTCTAGGTTAGTATAAACATATGATCTAATACAAAGCAAAAAATAATAGTAAGAGAAAATAAAAACAAAAAGAGTGCTACGAAAAAAAAAGGTAGTGTGCAAACTAACACCTAACATTAGATCTTGTGCTAGACGGTGCCACTCTAACTAATTCAGACAAATATGATTCATAAAGTGAAATTCCATATTGGGGATTCCGCACTGAAAACTTTGGGTAACAAAGACAGGGCACGATTACTGGAACTGATCCCCCTGTGGCTTCCCAGTGCAGCCGCCTTATCCTCCTCTCCCTCGCACTGGCTTTCAGCTGCTACACCGGCAGCCACAGGGGGGATTAGTTCCTAGTAATTGTACCCCCCCCCCCCCACCACCACCACTCCAGGTCCCCTTCCTGCAGCTCTGATCCCCTTGTTTATTTATGTATATATAATGCTCCTGAGTTAAAGAATATGGTAAATAAAGTTCCTGGTGATGAACAGTTGGCCTAAAGTGGTTGATATTGCAATTGAGTTTTCACTTATATCAGTCATTAAAAAGTTTAAATGAACTCAAAACAGAGTTTAACAGAATTACTTGCATGCCTGTTATGGCTCTTGCTGAATGTACTTTACAGAAGAACTCCAGGAAAACATTGTATTTTCCCATGCAGTGGGGCTGTGCCTGTACTACATAGGTTAACTGCTCATTTTTGTCTAGGGGTGAGGAGAGTGGAGAGATGATTACCTAATGCACCAATCCTCTAGCGCAAGACCTGTCCCCACCGCTCCTGCCCCCTCCCCCCACACACTAGCGGTCTTATGAATGGACTGTTCCTAACATAATCACATAGTAGATGTAGTGATGCTATTCTAGCACAAAAGGGTGTTTTCCTAAATTAATATATCCGTGATCGAGTATTTAAGCAAGCCATGACTGACCCCCACTTCTGAAGAACTGATTGGCGGATAAAACATGTCAACGTAATGACGTCATCATGCCCAGAAGTAATGTCCGCAAGTGTCCTCATGCTCGAATGAGATGGCAACGAGATGCCACAAGCCATTGAAATACTATGCTGTGGATCCTGAAATCGACTGAAATGACATGATAATCTCTGATCCTCGTAGTGCCCTACTTTGGCTAATAGAGGCATATACTACAACAAGCTACCAACAACAGTGTGACACTTCATTGACAGATCCACCTGGAAATCAGCAAGGAAATGCATATGAGAGACTGGACATAAACTGAAGTCCTAATATGGAAGCCGTAAGTGCCTAAGCTTTATATGGGACTTTCATGCTGTCACTGCATAACTACTGCTAAGCAAGTCCTTCTCTCTCTATACTGCTAAGGTCTTCTAACCTTTCACATGGTTATCCTTTGTATCTATACTGGTGGACTTATCTGTTAGCTAATACAGCCTATCTATATAATGGAATTGCTAACCTTAGATCAGTGAAATGTGAACTCCGACTGCTCTGAGACATATATATTGCTTGCCTCTCATGATCTGCAGATGCACTTGACAGTTCACGAGTAAAGCATCTAATTTGAACAGACATAACAAACTGATGTTGGCAAAAGCTACATGTCTAAACCTAATGCTTATCTGCTCACTGGACTGTTGACCTGCTAACTACCAGGGTCACTAACTTAATAAACCTATGAAGAGAGACTCATGCTAGGTTTATCCTTTATATACTCTACTCCATAATAAAGGGATTGGTGAATCTACATTTGTGACCCATAACCATTGCTATTTCAGGTTACAACAATTGCTGCCACAGTTTCAGTGGTAATATTTAGCGCCTGACTATCTCAGCCTTGCCACTGCTATGTGAAGACACTAGTTGGGGTGTTACAATCTGGATGCTATCTGGATGGAGGCTGCAATCTGGGCGGATTTGTTGCTGTTCAGAGATAAAAACTGAACTTGTTACAAGTGAGTGGGCATTTTTATTTTAATAAAGAGGCTCATTTGATACCATATTACTACACTATGAAGGATCTTTTCTTCACTCATCATGGTTTATGGTGAGTGATATATTTAGCTGGTGATACTGTCCTGAGAGGTCTTGAGTATTGATCCACCTGAGAAGGGGTCCACGGAAGGAGTACTGAGGATACTTACCAATACTGGAGAAAGATCTGAGAGTGATGTTGGAGGCTTAGTGGCCCTTTGGGTCGCAGATTGAAGGTGAGGGGGCATTTTAGCCACAAGAGGAGTGTGTTGACACCATCACAAGAAATCATCACTTTTTTTCATCACTTTTGCATGAGTTGTTTTTGTGTGGAGCACACATTTGGATGATTTATGAACTTTTTTTTTTTTTTTAAGGAAAAATTATTTAAAATGATTTATCTGTATTTAAGTTGGTTACCTTACTGTGTACACTGATCACGTTTGCAGTGTGTGATTTACAATATTTAAGGGGGTCAGTGTATATTTACACATATGTTGAAGGATTATTGAGGCACCAGTCCTGCAGTTTATAACAGGACTGTTGGTCACTTATTATATTGCACACTTGAATTAGGAGCACATTGTGGCACTTTGTTTGTTTATTTATTCATTAAGTCACATGTGTAGATTATTTGAATATTTTATTTGAATATTGTATGAGTTGATATTGGGGTAATATTACAGTAGTGCTGCACTATATGATTTGTTTAATTTGGTTCACTGTATAAGGTATCAGTTTGGAGTGTGAGTGGCTGTCATCTCTAGGTACTCCATATAGCACAGGAGGAATTTATATTATTTACCTCACTATCTCAGCCTTGCCACTGCTATGTGAAGACACTAGTTGGGGTATTACAATCTGGATTGTTTTTTAATTGTTTTAACTAGGCAATTTCTGTGTGTTCACTTCTGAAAGATTTTCTGTGTATAATTTATTTTCTATGATCAGCCAACAGTGCCATTTGTTTAAAATCAATAACGTTTTGTATTTTCACATTTACTATAAGAACTCTACATGGTTGATGTAATACCTTCTTTTTAGCAGTTTGTTCTTTCCAGCTGCATATTCTTTTTTTGACGTAGTCATTTAAGGTTAGCACCCACAGCCTTAGATCGATTATATGGTGAACTAGAGAATTAACTATCAAGCATACCCCATCCTGTGGTGTGCTTTTAATTTTTTGCAATTAAGTATAGCTTTTTCTTGCGACCCTGGACAAAACGGGCAGTTAACCCATGCATTGTGGGCACAGCCCCAGTACATCGGAAAATAAAAACTATGTCCGTAGTTCTGCTTTAACATTATAGTTAGAGATGGAGCAATCACATGTTTGTGTCACCAGCTGTAGGCTTGGGCTTATCCAGATCACGTATTCTGAGGATTATCCAGACTTTACCCAAACCCCTCAAGGTTTTAATGCTAACACTGAATACAGCAACACAGTGGTCTCCAAATTGTGGCTCGGAAACTTATTCAGCCCTTGGAGCATTATTCCTCCCACTGATACAAGACACTATTCTTTTCACTGACAAAACAATGGGGCACTATTCCTCCCACTGACACCAACAATGGGACACTATTCCTCCCACTGACACCAACAATGGGACACTATTCCTCCCACTGACACCAACAATGGGACACTATTCCTCCCACTGACACCAACAATGGGACACTATTCCTCCCACTGACACCAACAATGGGACACTATTCCTCCCACTGACACCAACAATGGGACACTATTCCTCCCACTGACACCAACAATGGGACACTATTCCTCCCACTGACACCAACAATGGGACACTATTCCTCTCACTGACACCAACTATGGGACGCTATTCCTCCCACTGACACCAACAATGGGATGCTATTCCTCCCACTGACACCAACAATGGGATGCTATTCCTCCCACTGACACCAACAATGGGACGCTATTCCTCCCACTGACACAAACTATGGGACGCTATTCCTCCCACTGACACCAACTATGGGACGCTATTCCTCCCACTGACACCCACAATGTGTTAATATTCTTCCCACTGAACCATAAATGGGGCACTATTCCTCCCACTGAAGCCAACAATGGCACGATATTTCTCCCAATGACACCAACGATGGGGAACTATTCCACCCCTTAATACTAAAGATGGGGCACCGTTTACTCCCATTGACACCAGTGCAATTTCTACTCCTACTGGCCACAGTGCGCCCCCCAATATTCTGATGATAGTGAACTGGCCCTCTGTTTAAAATGTTAGGAGACCCCTGCACTAATAGATTATCATCCTCAGTTTGCAACAGAAAACATTATATAATTAACAAAATTAAATCTTAGTAAATAATTGTCACTGATCCCACACAGAAGCAGGAGGAAGCTTTTTGCTACTATTATTGGATTTTCGTAGATATTTACTTACCAAGGTTTCCAGTCTGCCGGCAAGGGAGCAACAATTCCCTCCCGAGCCAACCACATAAGTTCAGGTTCTGTGTCCGGATTGATTCCAATCATTCTTGCATATTCTTGGATTTCTGGAGAATAGAACAAAGGAAGACAAAAAAAATTCCCTTTAAAAGGAAAATGTCATTGCCTATGCTGATGTTACTTGTCCTGTATAAAACAATTCTTAATTATGAAACAAACATCTGTAATTTTCAAAATCATAGGCAGAGCAGAAATTACTTGGGAAAATAATTTTTTACTGGAGGGTAGAAATTAAATCCTTCCTATGTAGTTCCCTTCACAGTCTAGATGTCTGCCCAGTCCTAAGCATATCACTGTTGTAAAATGCAAACTTTAACGGGTAACTAAACCTAAAAAAAATGTAATATACTGCTGCCTACCAGTCCTTAGATGCCTTAGATGTGGTGGCTGAATTTTTTTTCAGGTTATGGGCTGAATGGGCTGCCCTATGTGACACACAAAATCGCCTGACAATTGCCTGTAAAAAAACCACAGCGGAAAAACTTGTTCCAGCTACGTGAAAGTGTGAATGCAGCCTCAAAGTTAGACTTGGTAGTTCGGTTACAGTTGAGAATCACATTAAAGCTCTAGGCAGCTATAAGAAAAAAAATATTATTTAAAGTGGTTGCAAAGGCTCAAGGTTAAAAAAATCTCTGCGTGCAGCAGTTCCCCCAGCCTTCTCAATACTTACCTGAGCCTCACTGCGATCCAGTGATGGGAACAACAGCCTTGGCTGTCCCGGGTCTCTGCCTCCTTATTGGCCAAGGCTGCTTTCAATTACAGCCAGTCAGCCAATGGGGGGGGGGGGGAGCACCAGCTCCATGTGTGAATGGACACACAGAGCAGCAGGTGGCCCTATAGCAAGCTTAGTAACACTTTAAGAGTACCTGGCAGTCTTGTCCATGACAGAAAATTAATCAGTTGAAGCATAAAGCAAAAGAGAACAAAATCCAGACACTAGTCAAATACTTAGTTTCCTCAGACAATCCTTGATTTTTTTTCCAGCATTTTCAAGGGCCATATACTAGCAAGATTTTTGTACAAACATTCTTGCAGCATATTTGTACCTGGATTTTGGAATGATTTTCATTTCCAAAAGGAAAACCACATTCACAGTTAGAAATGTGTTTGTTAGAAAACAAATGCCACCCTGCACCTTCATTTCTTATAACTGCAGTCAAAAACAAACATTAATTTAACTCCACTAAGGACTTGAAAATGTAACAAATGGTCCTGAAATGAAAGTCTTCAATGTAAATGCTTCTGGTTTAAGTCCTGCTTTACCACACTATGTTGAGCCTGAAACCAGAAAACTCTTCCTATTAAAATGGTTGCAAAGGTAAAAAGGTATTACACCTTAATGTATTCTATGCATTAAAGTATTAATAAACCCTGCATTCACTATATCTGGTCTTCCACAGTACGCAGAACATGGAAAGGCAATCATTTTAGTAAATATAAACTGCTAAATACATTTTCTCATCAGCAGTACATAGCAGTCTTGTGACTTCTATCAGTGTCCAGATGAGCACTGGTTAATCTTGCAGGAGGAGTTTTCATTCTCCTCTGACTGTCCTGTGAGGTTGCATGACCCCTGACCCTCTGTCTGGACAGTGTCGATTGGCCCTGTGCCGATCACATGCACCCCCCAAACAAAAAAAAAAAAAATCTGTACCAATACACAACAGAGCATGTGCAGAGTGTCTCCTAGGCCTCTATACTATCAGCAGATGGATTGGGGTCAGTGGAAGGAGAGGATCAGAGAAGACAGGATTAAAACATCCTTTTTACACAATGCAGAGGATTAACCCCTTAGGTTCTACAGGGAGTATAAAAAACATGCTTTACTGCACATAGAGACAGATATTACTGTTGTGGCTTTGGTAACACTTTATGGTAGAAATCCTTTTGAGTGCAGCTCCCCCCTCAGGCCCCCCAATCTCATTTCAGCGCTGTGCACTCTGTAACATCTCTTCTCCCCTCTTGGGGCTGTGAGCAAAGAGCAAGGGGGCAGGGCTAAGCCAGGCTGTGTGTCCAAATAAACACAAATAGCACAGCTCAGGAGCAAGCCCGCAAGAGTGCCCCCATAGGAAGTGGCTTTCTATGGGGGCGGGAGCCAGGAGCGCCGGTGGGGGACCCGAAAAGAGGAGGATCGAGGCTGTTCTATGCAAAACCACTGCACAGAACAGGCAAGACATGTTTGTTATTTTAATTTTTTTTTTTTTAAATAATCTGTAAAGGATGAGTTCACTTTAAAAAAAAAAATTTAATAAAATAATAAATGCACATTTTTGCAGATAAAAAATGTGCATTTATTTTTTATTTTTTTTAGCATTGCACAGCGATCAGCAGATTGCTGGTGTCATGCAGATCTGCAGCAGACTGTCAGTTTAATCTGTGTGCTCACACCTCGTATGGGCAGACAGTTTAACACTTCCAGGAAGACTCCATAAACTACCACAGCACTCCACAACACCATGGTAATTCATTGAGAACTACTAGCTGACATCCACAAAGGATGTCAGTACTCGCAGTTCATTCATTCACATAACTCTGTGAATGAATGATGTGGCAGTGTGGGCGGAGACCCGCATGATCACACGGATTCAAACAACTGACAGCTTGTATGGGGAGCTTCTCCCTGTATTGCTGTCACAGGGGGAAGAGGGGGATTAGGCAGCAGCTGCAGCACTGGGAACATGTTACATGTTCCACTCTAAAAACGTGAAACATGTAACATGTTTTCAAATGTGAACTTTAATATCACATTAAGCCTGTAGACACATTGTTATAGGCTGCACAGGGAGTCAGAGAAGTTCTGATGCTTACTAGACAAGTCTTTGGAAAGCACATGAAGAACTACTGTAGAATGTACGATTTCTTAATGGTGATTCAACAGCAGTTGAATCCCCACTAACAGCAGTTGAATCCCTCACTAAAATAATGATGTGAGAATGAGCTACTGCAAATGGACTGCGGTGCAACCCAGCAGGATTTAAATTCCTTTTTAACTGATAATCTGGTGTATCTGAAATTACCTGTTTTCCCCTATACAGAAGTGCTCAGACTAGAAGGAGGAGAAGCATTAGGATCAATTTGGGTGGACTGCATGCAAGTGAGCGTAAAAAAAAAAAAAAACTGAAAAGAGATGGATGAGTGACTAAACAGATGAGCTGCTGCTACAGTTCATTCACAGCCAGCTGACTGGAAGGTGGTCCAGCTTTACTGCTTAACTACAGCAGAGAATAGCCTGGTCACCAACCAGGCTGTACAGTCTAAGGCTAGGTTCACACCTGTGCAGGTTGCGTTTGAGCCGTTTCTGCATTGCAATTTTGCCGCGTTTTGCGTTTTTTTTTCAGTTTTGTTATTTTTCTTGTTGCTAGACAGCTTTAAAACGTAAACCATATAAAAAAAAAAAAAAGCATCAAAAACGTGGCAAAAAATGCATCAAAAAACACACTACATGCTTTTCTGTAGTATTTCCATTGAAGTCTATAGAACCAAAATTGCAACTTTTTGCATTCAAAAAAGACCTTGACCCTTTCCAAAAACATGCACCGGGTGAAAACGCGGAGATGTGAATGTGTCCCATAGGAAAGCATGTTAAATGGACTGTACTGCATTTGCGGAAACCGCTTAGGTGTGAACCTAGGGTAACAGGGCTTTGTAAATCTTTGAACAAAACTGACAACAATACAAAGTCTTTGGCAAAAAAAAAAAACACTCTCAGATCTGGACTTTATCCATATAATTAGCTGTGAGTCTGCAGTTCAGATTTTCAATGTACATATTATATCTACATTATAAGTTACCATGCTCTTGAGGTATGTAGCTTTCATCATGATCTTCCTCCAGGATCAATTGATCCCCCATTCGACCAGTGGGCAAAGGCAACATTTTGTGGGATGAGAATCAGAAACCTGAAAGAGACAACAAATTTAAGTAAAGTCACCTTAAAGCAGAGCATGCGCATGCATCAAGACCTCTTGCTTTATGATCCACTCTGAAACCTTTAAATCCCTTGCCACACACACAGGCATTCACAACTTTCTTTTTGATGGTGTTGCAGAGCTCTTTTGATCTTCATATGATGACTCCACACACGTCAATAGCAAAGAGAACATCAGACCCTAGATATCTAAGGTTTAAATAAGACAGGTTCTACTTGTATACCTCCTAAGGCTGACAATACACTAGATGATCTCATTGTACAATCTCCTTTGGATCTACCATCAACTCCTTTGGATCTACCATCAGCTCCTTTGGATCTACCATCAGCTCCTTTGGATCTACCATCAACTATGTAGTGGAAGAGTCTGCCTAATTTGATATTAGATGAATGGATTACTTAGATTTGTCCTCATATTAAATAGTAAAGAGACTGTTTCCCATCAGTTTCACATACCCCTGATTTAGGGGTCACTGTTTTGTGATTTCACGTTCATTTATTTTTTCACAAATCTCACTTGAATCCGTAAGTTTCAGCGGATTTCAGTAATAGATGTGTGTTGCAGAAATTACTTTGCAGTTTATTTTATTTTTCCACAGCAGTTTCTACTGTTTATTAATTTATTTATTTAGATTTCATTTTTTCACTTCCACCTATCCTTTATTATGTTCACTTTGAACATTTACATTTTGGGAGCATTTCCTATAGCAACTAATCAGTTGCAGGATATTATTTGCGTTGTATTTGTATCACTGAGTTTTGGGATCCTCAATAGGATCATATCATGTTTTTTTGGGCACAATTCAAAAAGAAGTAGTTTTTATATTATATATATATATATATATATATATATATATATATATATTTACTTTGTAATTATGTGTTTTGTTCACCCTTAGTCACCTATTGTATTTCTAGGGGTGTATCTAGGTTACACCTTTTATGTTTGGGTGGTATTTACTATTATCCACTAATTGTAAGCTCCAAGAAACAGGGCCCTCTAATCCCTCTTGTATTGAACTGTATTGTTACTGTATTGTCTCTGACTATAATGTAAAGCTCTGAGCAAACCGTTGGCGCTATATAAATCCTGTATAATAATAATAATAATAATTGGATGTTTTCATGTGCATTCTATTTAATAATTTTTGGTTTATGTATATTTATTTACAAGTTTGTACACTGTGTGGGGTATTAACATCACAGGAGTTTATTTATCACCTAGAGATAGCGCAGCACCAATTAGTCTTCAATTTGTCAGTAAAGAGACTGTACAAACAGGTTGAATAATGTATGTCCAAAGAGGTTCTTCTCATTGGCATCTAATGTGGAACCCCGGTCCTAATTTAATAAGGTGGTAAATGTAGGGGTGTACTTAATTTTAACACAAGACAAATCTAGATTTTCAGTATTTTTGGATTATGAGAATGAATGCACCATGGGAATATTTTGTGCCATGTGTTTGTTTGAGTATAATGCCTTTATCTGTGGACACATTTTATAGCTATTATTGTTCACTTTCACCATCACAGGACAGAATTCTTTCTCGGATTCAAATCCCTTCACATGTCATTTCTCTCCCCTGATGCAGTAGCTCTGGCTCAGTGTTTGAGATCTCACTCCTGTGATAGTCAAGTCTTGCTTAGCAAAGCCCTGGGACTTTTCAGGTCAGGCTACATGAAGTACATAAATGGCCTACACCTATAGCAACACCATTATTTGGCTTTACTCAAAGCTGCACAGTTGTTTTTTATCTATAGACACCCCTTAACTGTAGAGGCAGTTTTTTGGGAAAAGGTGAACTAACTCTTTTAAATAGGAACTGCACTGCATCTGAGCACCACAAACCAAAAATGCTATTTAATTTATTAAGATTCATTAACATTGAAAGCAAACTCCTCCATCCATCCATGTCTCCATGCTTTATTTTACTGAGAAATCATTTTGAAAAACACCCCATTTTGGCAGTGGCCAATTTTGGCATTCATGTAGAACTTACTTCCTGGCCAGCTCAGGCATTTGAGAACCTTACCTCACCTCCTGAAGATGGATGCATAGGCATGAAACTAAAAGAAATGCCAAAAAAAAAGTTAAACACAAGTAAATATTATATACTTTCCTATCCATTCACTAATGCTAGCAGCATAATGATTAAATATAGTCCATGTTGATTCAGAGGGTAAAGTTCCGCTTTAACCTTAAATTGAACTACCTTCTCCTGGTTGAAGTATTAGCGGAGGGTGCTGATAAATTAAAAAAAAAAAAAAAAAAAAAAAAACAACAGTGCCTTGAAAAAGTATTCAACCCCTTGAACTTTTCCACATTTTGTCATGTTACAACCAAAAACACCCCTTGGCATTTCTGGCCGTGGCCATTTGTAAGTCAGGTATAATTATAACTATCTGCTCTAATCCTGTATGTTTGAAAAATGCACATCAGAAAGTCTTCTGTACGCTGGATAGAATTCTCAGTATCTCATAGCTCCCAAAATGTCCCTACTTTTGAGGGACTGTCCCTGATTTGGAACAAAGTCCTTCCTTTCCTTCTCTTCTACATAGTTTAGCCCTGGTTCACACTTCTACAACTTTGCATGCATTGCCAGGCTGTGATGTTCAAAACAGAAAGTCGCATGACAAGTCAAAACACATTAATTTCAATGGGTACCATCTTATCTAAGTAACTTTGGCTGCGACTTCAGAGGGTTTTGTAAGTTTAAAAATATGTCACTCTGTATTGTTATGGTTTGCCAAAGCTGCAAAAATAAAGTCGCATTGAAGTCGATGTGAAGTTGCTTTGGGGTCGCAGCAGTGTGAACCGAGCCTTAGGCTAGGTTCACACTCATGTGGTGCGGTACATCGTATGTGATTCGCACAGGAACCGCACCGCATTCGTATGCAAATCACATGTGAATTGTGTGCGGTGCGATTGGAGCCATACATTATGTATGGCTCAAATCGCACCGCATCCGCACCAAAAAGGGGCAGGACCTTTTTTTGGGTCCGCACTAGAATCAGATCGCATGGGTATTCACACCTATGCAATTCGATTCTGCACATAGCACTGCGTTTTGTAGACCGATTTAGGCGTGTTGTTAACTTAACATACACACCTGCAGCGGCTCAAATGAACGGGGTGCGATTCTGATGCAATGTGGAATTCGCACAGAAAAAACACTGCGACTTCCAGACCGCATCAGTATGAACCCAGGTTTACTCTCCTACTTTCTTGGCCTCCCTGCTGTGGCGACCTCTGTTCACACATCTCAATGCTTTTCTGTTTAGAGGACCTGATTTCTGCAACAACCCTATGAGCATCTTCTATTTTGCTACTGGTGCTCAATTTATACTTTTAAATATATATATTGCTAATCATTATTGTACTGCTAGCATGCAATCCAGTATACTTATGCTTCAGCTACTCTCATTTTGATGTTTGATGGATACTATTTTGGAACTCATTCACATATCCATCTTACTCATATATTTGCACAGGTTGTTGTGTTGTTATGTTTTGTATCCTTTACAAACCTTAATAAAAATGTACTGAAAGTGAAAGTAGCTTCCTATGTCTTTATGTTGCAATATTTTTATTCATTTTCCAGAAAGGGAAAAAGAAGGAATGGCACATTCCAGCACAGTATAAATGAGAGTCCTGGATCAATGTCATATTAACATACAAAAAAGAAGAAATATAGCCTTTATGATCTCATATCTATATGCAGAGAATACACATTTCACTAACATTATATAGCTATAGAAACCCCATAAGATAAAAAGGAACAATCTCTGCAAAACTGATTCAATTGTCATTGTCTCATGCAGTTTAGATTACCCCTCCTATGTCTTACAAACATCCCATACAAATCAAGTGACGTCCCCATTCGGCCCTTTCACACACAAAAACATTCCAATTAGGTCCGCTTGTCATTTTTTCAGGTGGACCTGATCAGATTCTCCCTTCACCCCTATGGAACAGCGGATGTAAACAGATTTGTGTAGGTTTACACCTGCCTTCCTCCAATCTGATCCAGTCTGCAAAAAAAGGAAAAAAAAAAAAAAAAACACGGAAGGGGATCAATCTCACTATGTCTAGGTGGACCAGATGGGAGGGCAGCCAGGTGTAGACAGACAGTGGAGTCGGTTTACACTCGATGGTCCACAGAGCAGTGTGGACTCTGTCCATGTGTGCTCTGTATAAACTGAGGGTACACAGACCTGTCATCCACCTGCTCTGCTCTGATCAGCAGACAGATCCCCTGATGGTCAAATCAGAGGACCTGTGTAAAAAAAAGTCTTAGATGTAACAAATTAAAGTAGTCATAAAGGCAGAAGGTTTTTTTTTTTTTTTATATATATACCTTACTGCATTCTATGCAGAAATGTAAAAAACCTTCTGCATGCACCTTCCCCTCATCCTCCCCTAAATACATACCTCAGCCCAATCTCGATCCAGCAATGTGCCCAAGAGAAGAAGCTCTCTCAGCTTTCTCTCTTCTCATTTGCTCAGACACAGTAGCAGGTGCCATGTCAATCAAAGCCAGTGATGAGGAGTGGGTGCAGGTGGAGCCCCGTTCTGTGTGTCTTATGGGAGTGCATGAGTGCCCCCAGAGGAAGCGGCTTGCTCTGGGGGCACTCAGATGGGGAGGGGGAGCCCAGAGAGCCGGCGAGGGACCCCTGTCAAGGAAGTAGGCCTTAGATATCAAATAAATACATAACTATACTGTAACTACTGATTTAAACATTGTGGTTCAAATGTGGGTCGTGAAGTCCTCAGAAACTTCTTAAGTAGCTAAAACAAGCAGCTAAGAATGTTTTATGACATGGCCATTTGGGAACATATGTCAAAGCTTGCCCTGCACCTTTTTTGTTGTCTAGTGATAATGTGAAATGCCATACGTGGTCATTTATTCCAAGTTAGATATGGTGACAAGCTGCTAGCATCTAACAAT